CAAACTCCATTTAGCTTAAACTGAAATTCAGGCGCTAGGGTTGCTAGAGACCGACACACAAAGAGCAGAAACACCCCTCTCCTTGATGCATTTACGATTCACTTCCTTCAGTCTGCCTCCAATCCTACCACACCTAGTAAAGCGTGCCGTGCATTATAATTCTAACTGTACTGACAGATTTTTAAGACTATCAGAATTAATAACAACATAAGAACTAAACACCTTGCTTCCAAAAGCAGGCATAGGAAGAAAACATTTAGAACTATGTTCTTTTCAGAAGTAGATCTAGAAGGGAAAAGTCCCTGACAAATGTACAGGCAGAAATATTAGAAAGGAAAAACGGCTCACAAGGTAGTTCCAGGGATTGCTTTCAAGCAGGAGCCGTCTACTTCAACCTTCTGATTCTACAATTGACAAAACCAAAGCTCCCGAGAAGTAAAATCACACGAAAACCAAGAAACACCTTCCCTTCCTCCTGTTTGATGGATAAAAGAAGGCAAGTTCCTATTTTAATAAAACTGTCATTGTTATATAGTATTATAAATACTTTAAATACATTTATAGCATAACTTTGTAATGTTCTAGAAATAACTACTAGCATAACCCTTTAACTCCGGTATAGTATGTGTCTAATGTGGGCTGTATCTAATCACCAAGCATACTGTTTCTGTGATGATTAATCTTCATTGGAAATGTGACTGGATATAGAATCACCCAGGTCACAAAGCTCTGGGGGTTCCTGAGATGGATAACACCCCAAATGTTGGTGACTCCATTGCACGTGCTTAGATCCTGGCTGAATAAAACAGAAAAACTAAGTAGAGAGCTGCATGCCTCTCCCTCTCATTCCTACGGCCGGCTGCCTCAGTCTTACCACCCGCTAAGGTGACCCTTCAAACCCTAAGCAAAAGAAACCTTTCCTCCTTTAGACTGTTTTATTTTTAATTCTATCTCAGCAATGAGAAAAGAAACTATTACAAAGTCCTACAGCACGTTATAATTTTAAAATGTAGTAAAAAGTTAAGATCACCAACTCATAAGCATTCAAGATTCCAAATCAACAGCAGGGTGTATACTGCTCAGTCGTGGAGTGCCTGGCACCCATGTCCTGGGCTTTATCCCCAGCCCTGAGAACAATGAAACTGGAAAAATATGAGGAGAGAGAATCATAAAATTATAATCCCATGGAATGAATAAAAACATACAAGTCTCAATTTTATGAAGATCCATCTCGAGGCCATTTGTTTTTAAAACCTGTTACATAAGCAAGCAGAAGTCGTCAATGTATACATCTTTTTTTATTAACTGAAGTCCCAACAATGATTTCAGAAACGGAAGTGTCACTGTCCATTTTCAGGAAATACACTGCAAGAAGATCATTACCATCTTTTCAGGTACGATGCCAACATCTACATCACTCAGGATCTCGTGCTAGCTCAACAGTGTGCTAAAAAGACTATGATGGGTTACAGAACACCACCAAACACATCTTTCTCTTTAGAGATAAAACTGCTTTACTGAATAAATATTTGCTAAATCTTGCATTTGGTGGCTACTCCTTTTGTTTGTTGAACACAGATGAACCCTCTATTTGTTAAGCGCAAAGCTACTACCTTTGTATTTGTGACAGTAAGCCAGCCGCAGGTTACTTCTTGTCTTCACGGAGTTCAAGAAAAACCAGACATTTTCTTTACCCCAATTACAAAAAGAAAAAAAAAAAAAAAAAAAAAACAAGAAAAAAACCCCACTAAATTTTGGCTCTTTATATTTAAGGAAGCATGATAAAAATGTAATCAAATTAATTTCTAAAAAATCAGCTATATGAATTATAAATAAACCTGTAGCGATTTTCACCTATATGATTTCCTCAAAGAAACAAAAGTCTAAATCTGAGTAAAGACTCTAAAGATATATAGTCTTTCAACAGTTTTTGCTATGAAAATGAAGGAGTTAATCTCTCAATAAGGAAACCAAATATACCCTCTACCGTTAACATGAAGATAAATTATTTGTAAAATTAAGCAAGAACTAGAGTATTATACTACAGTAACGTAATGTACTGTCTCTCAACACAAGGACATTTATGATAAAGCTGCCCTGTCTTTCAAGTGACCACAATTATGAATTCTGTTAGCCGAAAACTTTAAACTGAAAGACCTTCAATATTTCTAGACTCTTCATGGATTTAATTCGATATCTACTTGTTATCAATCATTTTCATCAGTGTATCTGTAATTACTATATGTATGGATGAAGTCTGTAACTAAAAACCACTGAGAAATGAGAAATTCTACCCATTACTCACCAAAGCAAAATCAAATGTAAACCAGCCACTTTTGGATGCCATGGAAAAACACACTGAGGCATTTTCATAATCCAGCAATTAAAATACTTAAAATTAGTCTGAAAACACTATGAAAATACCTTCTCTGAATCAATGCCTAATATTTTGTGGAAAATGACTCTTCACCATCGATTTATATGTATGCCACTCACAAGCGCCATTAAACAATTATTGCACCTTCAAACTCTGGCACTGTCTGTAACCCTGGTTTTTATCAAAAGGGTTAACAAAACAAGCTCAAACTCCAAAAGATGGGGAATGACACAAAGGAAAGAAGAGATGTTTCTGGTAGTTAACAATTTGTTTCTAAATAATACCATTTAAGCTGCAAGTAACTAATGTTTGTTTCTTACGTTTTCAAAAACATAGTTCATCCTTAGAGTATGCAAAACTAGATCTACTCATCCACAATATAAGTTAGAAAAAAAATAGGAGAAAATTATAACCAGTAATAAAATATACTGTAAAAATAACTGTGAGAAGTAAAATTTCAGTTAAGGAGTAAGATCCCCCTTAAATAGTAAATCATTCCTTTCATTCAAATAAAACATATTCTACAAATACGAAATACAAAACTTTTATTATTCAAAACAGAAAATTTTGTATTAAGTACTTTATTAAAATATTCAAAATATATAAAAATGCTTCCTAACAGAAACTTGGATCATCAGGGATAAACTGTCCCTGCGAGTTCCAACTGGGAATCGCATTTGTAATTGTGCTATGCGCCGCTATCAGCAATTACAAAAATTAAAGTTTACCAAGCTAAATCTACAAACATCAATGGACTAAACAGCTATTAAAAATTAATCACATCGATTACTGAACAGACTTCGCCAATATGTGAACACCGAGAAAAAAACTGCAAAATAGACTGGCAGGCACATTTCGCATAGCAAAAGATAAGGTTAGAATGAGCAGTATTCAAGTACCAATTCTAGCTCGGTATTAATCGATTAGTCGGTCGCAGGGCAGGTCGTGAACGTTCGGATCGGATGAGCTTTCTTATCACCATTATTCTAGTTGATCATCCGCAAGTGCTAGATAGGGAAGGTGTCAGAGTGCTGAAGCTAGGGGGCATGCTGTAGCTAGGGGAACAGAAAACCGGGAAAGGTGCAATGGATGCTGCATAGTTGAATAATTATCTGGGTGGCACAATGGGCGAGTCCCGTCGACATCAGAGCCCGGCGAGCGTCTCCCTAACTCTGCCCGAGGAAACCTCCGATTCGCGGGCATCACCAGAGCGGGCGGCAACCGCTTCGCCTTCTCTCCCGGACGGGAAAAGAGAGGGATGCCCGCACTCGCTTTGCCGCTGTCGTGCACCGGGAGCCGCGGCGCAGAGACGCGCAGCCCGAGCCGGCTTTTCAGAGCGGCGGGCGGGCGGGCGGGCGGGCCGGGGCTCCGCGGTGGGCTGCAGCCTTGGCTGCACCGAGGCACGAGGGCGGGAGCCGCGAGCCGAGCCCCGCACCGCAGCCGCTGCACCCGGAGCAGCCCGGGCCGGGCCGGGCCGGGCCCCGCACCCGAGGACCCCGCGCCCCGTCCTCCACGCGCGGCCCGGGCTGCTGGGCGCGGGGGAGCCGGGATGGGGGCGGGGGCGGCGCGCCCTGCGACGGCCGCCGCCGCGGACCCGGCCGGGCTCCGCACACGCCCCTCTCGGCCCGGCCGGGGGAGAGCACTTGCGTGGCCAGGACCGGGGCGCGGGCGGCATCAGCACCCGGCAGACTCGTGCTCACCGTGAAACCGTGGGGGCTCGCGCCTTACCCCGTCTTCATGCTTCGGCGGCGGCCGCCGGTCCCGCCGCGCGCTGGCACGGCACCGAGAGCCCCGAGGGGGCGTCGGGCTGCGGCGCCGGGCCGGGGATGCCGCCGGGGCCGCGGTGCGCGCGACGCGCGAGCGAACAACACCGCGAGCCGCCGCTGCCCCGCGCCGCGCCGCGCCGCCCCCGCCCCGCGCGCCGCTCCACAAGCGGGCGCGGGGACCCGCGCCTGCAGCAGGGGGAGCCGCGCGGCGCTCTCCGCCGAGCCGCCACAGCCTCCCCGCCGAGCCGCGGCTCACGGCTCGCACCGGCCCCCTGAGCCCCGCATGGCGAACGGTCGCGTGGCGGGAGATGCTGCCTGCGCTCACGCACCCGTCCGTGGGCAGGAGGACGGGGTACACCCCCCCCGCCTGGGGCGCGGTGGTACCGCCCAACCCGCACTTTGGGGGAGGGGGCGGCGGGGAGCGGCGCTGGGCCAGGGATGAGGGAAGATGATGTCCAATTGAATGAACCATCCTTCGGGGGCGGGGTCGAAGGCCGACCCCTCTGCCCGGCTCCGCCTCCTCCCCAGCCCGCAAACTACGTTTCCCATGGTGCCTCGCGCTCCCCGCCGCTCTGCACGCCGGGAGTCCTCGAAGGAGTCTCAGACCTGCGGGGGCTTTAATCGGCGAGGTCCTGGAAGTTATAAGTGGTTGTAATTCCGCGCGCTTCCCCAGACTAATGTTTGCGAGTCTCAGGTTCCCACGCAGCCAGAGTAATAATCGTTACATTTTATTTCCAGGACGTTGTAAGTGTTTTCTTTTGTTTGTTAGAGAAGGTAAGCAACGCGTTGCCCGGCGATCTGTCAGGACCTGGGAGCCAGTCGCCGCTTCTTCCGCCCTGGGCCTGCTGACCGCGGCTGAGAGGGTCTGTTGCAGTCATGTCCGCTGCGATTGCAGCTCTGGCTGCTTCGTACGGCTCGGGCTCGGGGTCCGAATCGGACTCGGACAGCGAGGGCGGCCGGTGTCCGCTGCCGGCCGCAGACTCCCTCATGCACCTGACCAAATCGCCCGCAGCCAAGCCCTCCCTGGCAGTGGCGGTGGACTCGGCTCCGGAGGTGGCGGTTAAGGTGAGTGCTTTGGCCACCGATGGCTGCGGAGCGGGCACTGGACTCAGCTCCCGACCCGCCCGTCTCCGGCCAGGTGCTGGCTTTACCTCGGCGCCAAGAAGAAAGTTCCTAGCGTCTGCGCGCGATCCCACGGCTTCCTCCACTTCCCTGCCCCTCGCGTCTCCGTCGCATTGGAAGTGGTCCGAGACCGGAGGAAAGTTTGCGTTCCAGGCTAGGACGAAGCCTTATTGGAGCAGATGTAACTTTGGAACATAGCTAGAAGCGGATCGGGACTCCCTAACTAGAATTTATTGTGCCCTCACTGGAAGTGAGCCGTGGCCAGACACTGTCTTGTTTTTGAGAAATTAGTCTCGAATCCTGGCTTCACTACTTGCAAATTACACGACTTCCTCTCTTATAATGCGGATAGTTGCTTAAAAACTTACCTATACCGGGGTGGTGGTGGTGGGGGGGGGGGTTGTTGTAAAGATTAAATGAAAGTATGTGGTAAAGTTTATGCAACACAGAGCTTAATAATCTAGTGAAAGGACAGTACATGCTAGCTATTCGTGATTATAAATGTTGATACAGGGAGTAGCATGCATGAACCCAGGGAAGGGAGGTGATAAAGGGAAAAACCCAGCTACGTAGTTCTTTATTAAGCATGTATTATTTCCCAGAAAAAAAAATCAGGACTGAAGGCCACAACGGTCAACGAACAGAACATACTGGAATCATTGGTGGATGAAGCAGCCAATTAAATGTGGACAAAAACAGTAGTTACAGATTGGATTGAACACTGGAGGGGGGAAATGACCGTGATAAAGACGAAGGCAAGGCAGGGAGGGTGGTGATGGCACATGCCTTTAATCCCAGCACTGGGGAGGCAGAGGCAGGCGGATGTCTGTGAGTTCAAGGCCAGCCTGGTCCACAGAGTGAGTTCCAGGACAGGCTCCAAAGCAATACAGAGGAACCCTGTCTCAAGAAGAACTGGGGGAATGCTCAGGGAGATAAAAGTTCAGTTCAGAGATTTCAGAGCCAAGTAAACTGCAGCAAGAGTTTCCACGCTTGGGTGACCTAGGAAGGCAGAGACTTGGTGTGTCTGAGACTGATGTGTCTTAAACCCAGTGAGATTGAGCTTCCACCAATCAGTAGTGAGCTCCATGTGGGGGCTCAAAGTGAGGAGAGAAAACTGCAAAACTTCCTCCGGGAGATGGAAGGGAGGGGTGAGGGAGGCCTTGCTTGTGTCATAAGTCTTTCACAAGTTTTGAACAAGCCATTTATGAAACTTTTTTTTTTTTTTAAATAAGGACATCTGCCATGAAAGAATGCTGGGAATTCTATCTTTAGAGCAAAGCAAAGCCCTCCCGGCTGAGGACTTTTCACCAGCCTCCTCGGTCTGCTCCGTAGAAAATTCAGTGTTGTTTCTGCATTCTTCCGGCCTTTGCCAGTTTCCCCCGAGCTCGGTGCAGTCTAGCCTCAGCTTCTTGATTAACGCTTGACGCGAGTGGTGCCCTAGGCCTTACATTCAGGGGTGCTGTCATCTGACTTGAATCTCTGCATCAAATAACACTGTTAGAATTCCCCTTTCTCCAGCCCATCGTTGGTGGAGCACGCTTTTAACCCCAGCATTTAGGAGGCAGAGGCAGGCGAATCTCTGAGTTTGAGATCAGCCTCATCTACAGAGCGAGTTCCAGGACAGGCCCCAAAGCTACACAGAGAAACCCTGTCTCGAAAAACTTTAAAAAAAAAAAAAAAGGCACCAGAAGTTCAGTCTGAGGAGCTGACCCGATCTGGGCTCTGTATAACACACGAGCTTTGTGCGCCAGCATTCCCTTATATGGAGGGGAAAGGAAAGATCATATGTAATAAATGTAATTGCAAATGATTAGAAAATTTTCAAGGAAAGAATCGTGAAGCATGCAAATACAGTGTCTGTATTTAACTGATTTTCTGGTGACTGAGAGTTAATTGGCCAAAAATGGATATATGGCCTGCTGTGTTACATTTTAGGTTAGGGAGGGGAAGGGTTGCGCATATCACAGAACCGGTGTGGAGGTCAGGGGACAGTTTGTCCCCTGGCTCCCTAATGGGCCATTCTAGCTGAATGAAGAAGCTCCGGGTCAGTGAGAAACTTGTCTCAGAATAAAGGGAAGCAGGATTGAGGAGAGCACTTGACGTCAACCTCTGGCTTCCACCTGTGCCACAGACAAAGAAATTACGTGTTTGACACTTTTGACCACACGCTGACAGGCCTTTCTTTGTAGTCAACACTGAGACTGTGAATACCACTCTATTTTGTTAGTACAAAATTTATTCTGTAGCCCATATATTGGAGTTTGCTAGCCCCTGTTCTAGACCACACAACGATGCTCAGTATCCCTAACCTTAATGCATCAAGTTAAAAACTAGGCACAGAGATAAAATTTCCATGTGACTATGAACTTGCCCTTGAGCCAAAGGGAAACAGTCATAACAAGATATTTCGGGTTATTTGCAGGCAGGACCTCAGGCTTCCCAGGCTGAGTCTCAGACTCACTGTGAAGCCAAGGGTGGCCTTGAACTTCTGATCCCAAGTGCTGAGGTTATAGACTTATGCCACCATTCTGTCAACACTATGACTTTGTGTGTGTTAAGGAAGTACTCTAATCACTTGAGCTACATCCTCAGCATGGTCTACAAAGCAAGTTCCAGGACAGGACATCAAGGACTGTTACACAAAGAAACCCTGTCTATAAAAAAATAAAATAAAAAGTCTTGCTGTAAAGAACGTCCCACTCACACCTACCTTCAGAGGAAGACACTAGTGTTCGCCCCGCTCCCTCTCAGGTCAGCGCTTTAGTTCTGGCTTAGCCAGAAGACCCACCTGAACTTTCTAATCCTTTAATCTGTTTTTAATTTGAGGACATTCTGGCAGTGACAGGCCAATGAGAGACTCTTTCTCAAAACAACAAAAGACTATGGAAAAATGGAATGTAGCCTTAGTATTGCTACATTCCATTTTTCATGATGCTGTCATCTATAGCAAACTATGTATTTGTTTATTACATGGGTTATTGTCTTTCTAACCCAACAGACCAAAACTCTGTGAAGTCAAGCAGCTTTGTAAAACTATAAATATACACAGGCAACTTTGCCTATTTCCTTGGGCCTGGACAGTGCCTGATGCGTAACCTGGTGAAGGTGAATCTGATCATTTTTGATCGCCAGCATCTGGTGTCTCACTCCAAGAGAGCCCTCTTCAGCCATGAATGCTTCCATCTGTATCCTGGATTCAATCCGCTCTTACCTCTTCTTGGACACACATTGATTATCCCCTGGTTCTTTTTTCTCTTCTTTTTCTTTCTGTGTAGTCAGGTTGGCCTGAACGCATAATCCTACCAACTCCCCAATGGTGGGAGTCCAGGAATGCCACACCGCCTCCTACCATCCTGTGCATCTCCTTGTCACTCCATGCTGGGGGTTTGTCATCGTCGTCGTCGTCTTTTTAACTCTCAGAGTGAGCAGCACCTGTGTTGCTCTGCTTGTCCTCATCCCCAGCTGTGCTCTTGACATCTGGCTTCCACTGTCCCTCCCAGTACCAGGACTTCTTTGGCTGTGGTTGTGCCAAACCTGGTGACGATTACTCAGCCGCCTTCTACATAATTTCTCTAGATTTACATTTTCTTTCATCATTTTCATTTAACAAATACCTATTGATGTGTGTTGCCTGCCCTGCATTTTGCAAGGCAGTAAAGGCATAAAATGTAAGTAAAAGCCAATTGCAATAAATAATGCATTACAAATACTGTGAAAAATAAAACGTTCCATAAGACGGCAGGCAGAAAAAGACAGCTTTCCCTCCTGCAGCAGGAAGAGGGATTGGGTTGAGGGAAACGAGAAGGTGACTTTTGAGCACATGACAGATGCAGTGTTGTGACACCAGGTGGTAACAACAGAGCAGGTGACAGAGGAAACATCAAAGTACTTGCTGTGCTTTAAAAGCATCCATAAAGGAATACAACAGAAGAGGTTGTGTGCATTAGGAGGGTTAGAATAGGCAAAACAGCAGTGGTACAGCGGGCTTTGGGGAGGGACAGCTGGAGAAGTGAGTAACTGGGGGCCTGATTTGTTAGTGGAGATGGAATTGTGGGGAAATGTGTTTAGCATAGCATTTAATGTGCTGACATCTGTATGTAATGGAAATCTCCAGGCACTTGGCTATAAGGATGTGAAGCCAGGAATGGGGGAACAATGGAGAGGTGCTAACTGCACATCATGAGAATGTTAAGGTAAGGAAGTAGACTTTGAAACTAAAGAGGGAGGCAGAGGCAGTTGGATCTGTGAGTTCGAGGCCAGCCTGGTCTGCAGAGGGAGTTCCAGGACAGCCTCCAAAGCTACAGAGAAACCCTGTCTCAAAAAAAAAAAAAAACTTTTATTCAGGTCTGTACCCCATTTTAAAAATTTATTTTATTTTTTCGAGACAGGGTCTCTATAGCTTTGGAGTCTGTCCTGTAACTCACTCTATAGACCAGGCTGGCCTTGAACTCATAGAGACCCACCTGCCTCTCCCTCTTTGAGTGATGGGATTAAAGGTGTGTGCCACCACTGCCTGGCCATTTTTTATTTTTAATTGGGTTGTTTCCTTAATTTTCAAATTTTTTTTAGTTCTTTATATATTTTAAATATTAGCCCTTTGATGAATGTGTAACTGCTAAAATTTTTTCCAATTTTATAAGCTACTACTCTCTCCTAACAATGGTGCCCATTGCCATACAACTTGTCAGTTTTATGAAGTACCATTTATTAATTGTTCATAGTGCCGGTGCTAATGGTGTTCTATTTAGAAACTTTTCCTGTACCAATGAGTTCAAGGCTATTCCCCACTTTCTCTTCTATCAGACTGCGTGTATCTGGCCTTTCGTTGAGATCTTGGATCCATTTGAGTTGAGTTTTGTGCAGGATGTTAAGTGTGGATCTATTTGCATTCTTGAACAAGTAGCCATCCATTTTGACCAGCACCAACTGTTGAAGATGCTGTGTGTCCCCCATCCTCCCTCCAGTGTATATATCTGTCTTCTGTATTTAAAAGGAAAAATATATCAGGGATGTCTTAGGTATGTGGACACATACATGTCTGTGTCGTCATATCAGTTCCATTGATCAGCAGGTCTGAGTTCATGTTAGTACTGTTTTTATTACTATAGGTGTCGGTACAATTGGAAATCAGGGATGGTGACACCTGCAACACTTGTGTTGTTCAGACTCGTTTTAGCTACCCTGGATGTTTTGTGTTTCCATATGAAGCTGAAAGTTGTCCTTTCTGGTTCTTGGAAGACTTGGGTTGGAATTTTGAAGAGGACTGCATTGGATCTATAGATAGTGGCCTCTCTCTCTGTGTTAATCCTACTACTCCATGAGCATGGGAGACCTTTCCGTCCTCTGACATCTTCTTCTATTTCTTGCTTTAATGTCTTAAAGTTTCTACCACATACATCTTGCACTAGTTTGGTTGAAGTTGCCCCAAGATAATTTTATTGTGGCTATTGTGAAAACTGTTGTTTCCTGATTCCCTTCTCAGTCTGTTTGCCACTGGTATGTAGAAAGGCCCACCGGCTTTTGTATAATAATTCTGTACCCTGCTACTTTGCTGAAAGTGTTTATCAGCTGTAGGAGTTTCCTGCAGGAGTTTTTAGAGTCACCTTTTCCCTCCCTATGTGTGTCCCCTAACTCTCATTCAGTTGTCTTACTGTTCTAGCTAGACCTCCAAGTACTATATAGCATAGATATGGAGAAAATGGACAGACAGCCTTGTCTTGTCCCTGACTTTAGTGGAACTGCCTTGCATTTCTTTCCATTTAGGTTGATGCTGGCTGTCAGCTGTGTAAATTGCTTTTATTCTGTTGAGGTGTGTACCTTGTATCCCTAGTTTCTCTGGGATTTTATTGTGAAGGAGTGTTGGAATTGGCCAAAGGCCTTTTCTGCATCTATGATATGATCATGTGATTTTTGTCTCTCGGTCTGTTTATGTTGTGGATTACATTTTCAATTTATATATGTTGAACCATTCCTGCATCTCTGCTATGAAACCCACTTTGATTGTGTTGGATGTTCTTTTTAATGTGTTCTTGTATTTGGTTTGCAGGTATTTTATTGAGAATTTTTGTATCTGTGTTCATAAGGGAAATTAGTTTGTAATTCTCTTTGTTGGGTCTTTATGTGGTTTAGGTACCAGTAATGATGACTGCCTAAAAAGAATATGTTTTGATTATTATGTGTAGTAAGGAATTCCTTTTCTGGTTCAATCTTTTTTGTGTTCTGCAGGCTTTGTGTACCTGAATTTTGTCTTTTTTTTTTTTTTTTTTTTTTTTCCGGAGCTGAGGACCGAACCCAGGGCCTTGCGCTTGCTAGGCAAGCACTCTACCACTGAGCTAAATCCCCAGCCCCTATGTACCTGAATTTTAAGGAAATTTTCTGAAAATGGTTTTGCTGAAGATGTCTGCACCCATGACCTGGGTCTCCTCTCCTTCCTCCATCCCTGTTATTTGTAGGTTTGGTCTTTTCATTAGTGACCCAGATGTCCTGGATGCTTGATGCCAGGGTTTTGTTTGTTTGACATTTTCTCTTTAACCATTTATTTTATGTTGTCTTCGGCACCTCAGACTCTCTCCTATGCCTCTTGTACTCTGTTGGTGAGGCTTACTTTGAGGTTTTGTTTGAGTTCCTAAATTTTCCCTTTCCAGTTTTACCTCAGGTTGGGTTTTCTTTGGTTTTCTTCATTTCGTTTGCTATTTGTTTGTATTTGCATATGTTTTATTAATGAATTTAATCATATCCTCTTTCGGGACCTTCAACGTATTCATAGTAGCTTTTTAAGTTCTTGCCCTGTGTTTCAGGTATATTGCATATCTTAAGGCCTACTGTTGTAGGGTTGCTGGGTTCTGGTGGAGTCATTGTCCTGGCTGTTTTTTATTATGATTTTACTCTGATGTCTACTCATCTGGGTGTGAGATGATTGTGACTCAGCACATAATCTAAACACCAAATATACAGAACAAAGAAAGACTAGATTAAGCTGCAAGGGAGAAAGGACCGTGGAACATAAAGACAGACCTGTTAGAATTACACCTGATGGAGTCTGGGTGGGTGTTCCAGTCCTTGTTTTCTGGATTTTAGGAGAGTGTGGCAGCTGTGGGTTGCTTGGTAGGGACTGCTTCTGAGTCCCTTTCTAGTGGCCACTGGGTGTCCTGGGTAGAAGGTGTTTCTAGATATTGGGGGGGGGGGGAAGGGGCAGCTAACAAGAGGGAATGAGGCTGGGCTAGAGGTGGGACTAGAAGGCTCCACTGTGAGGAAAGCTGGGTCTGCCAAGTTTAACAGAGTCAGGCCCTGGAGAGTAGAGGCAGAAAGGGAGGGCAGGTTTGCTGCAGGTAATCTGCTACAAGGCTGGGAATAAGACTAGGGGTTGGACATGCAGGACAGGAAGGAGTGGCAAGCTAGCCCCCCTGCCTCCCTGGCTGCGGCCGCCAGGGCATTCCTGAATAAGAGAGTAGCTCCAGGTATTGAAGCTGACACGAAATGATGGTGGGAGGAAGCTAGACTTCCTTAACACAAGGGTCTTATTTAGTTAATAAGGTTAGTATGTTGAGAAATATGTATCTCGATATCTAAAACTGCATATACTGTATATGTGTTTCGTTACTCTTTATTGTAATTATTAGTGCTGGGATACTAAAGTAACACTCGTGAAGTCGGTGCTAGGCATTTACAATGTGACTTTGCTGTCGTTCCTGAAATGTATGCTCACTGAGGAGGTCTGTAACGTTCATGTGGTTTCTTTCAGGAAGATTTGGAGACTGGAGTCCATCTTGACCCTGCTGTCAAAGAAGTTCAGTATAATCCTACCTATGAGACCATGTTTGCTCCCGAGGTAAGAAAGCAGACACATGCTTCCCCTTATGCTGAGTATTTAAATTAATACAGAGCCAAATAAATGGTGTTAATTTTTTTTTAAGTTTCTCATTCAACTGTGTTACTATAAGTTTTAGAAAATATATCCTTCTAGTCTCCAAAAAAACCTATAGTTTTTATGAGAATCCTTTTTAAAATCCACTGATTGCTTATGTGCCCGCATAAAAAAGGCTGGTCATAAAGAACTGTCTTTTGAAAAAGGGAATCTGGGACCCAGACTGATAGCTGGGAAACCAGCATAGGACTGACCCAGACCCCCTGAATGTGGGTGTCAGTTAGGAGGCCTGGGCAGTCTATGGGGCCTGTGGCAGTGGATCAGTGTTTATCCCTAGTGTAGTATACATAGAAGGACACTCTCTCAGCCCAGACACATGGGGGAGGCCCGGGCCCTGCTCCAAATGATAGGACAGACTTTGAAGTCTCCCCATGGAAGGCCTCACCCTCCCTGGGGAGCTTAAAGGGGGTGGGATGGGGGGTGGGGGGGCAGAGAAGGAGGGAAGAAGAGGGATCTGGGATTGACATGTAAAACAAGCTTGTTTCAAATTTAAAGTTAAAAAAGGGAACCTGATAATATTAATTCTTCACTATGCACTTGATACTCTTCTCTCAGCATTGATAAGTGTCTATGGCAACTAACCACAAAGAAAAATGCTTTATTACCATTAATACACAGTGCCCGAGCACCCGAGTGCCTCTCTGTTGTCTTATTCTGCTGCTGGAAACGGTTACTCTGCTGAGGGAGGCAGGGTGCTCTGTGCAATCGTCTCTCTCTCTCTCACACACACACACACACACACCGCTTGCTAACAAGTAGTAATAGAAACATTGGGAAAGGAGGAAGGGAGGAGTCATTCTGAGCACTGACCATTAAGGAAAGCTTGTGGGGAACTGCAGATTACTGCACCGTGGGAGAAAGTGCGGTGCTTTTAGGAGTTTTCTTTGCATGGCATACAGACACGTCAGCATGCCAGAGCTGTGTCATGCTTCACCTGCCTCGGTTCCCACGGCGTCTGACATGTGTGGCACCGTCCGTGCCGTGGTATCGGCATCAGACAGTGCTGGCTGGCTCTCAAAGCTCAGAACACAGACAGTCTCTGCTCAGGTCCTCTGAGACTTGTGTGTCCTACACACTGGTCTGTAGTCTCTTAGTCCCGCCCTCTGCCCTGGGTAAGCTGTCCCCTCTCCGTGACTAACAAGCATCTCAGCAGGTCCTTTGACATGTCATTCATGTGTGCCTCATGGGTTCTACAAATGGAAAGGGCTTCGGTAAAATAGTGTTTATTTGCATTCAGAGGATGAGAAAATTTGAAAGTTGTGTGGTATATAACATTTTGGTGCCAGTTTATTTTCTATGAGATCTGCTTTTCTTTTTTTCTGAATCTTGAGTTATTAATAACGGTGATATTGCCATATAATTATATTTTTCAAAACTTTCAATCAAAAGACTGGATGTGAATTAACTCTGTGATGATATTTGCAAGTTAATCATCCACTCATTATTTCCATCCATCCTTCCTTCCTCATATTAAGGAGCCGCCACTAACGTGTAAATTTGTTCATGTTAAGAATACCACATATGGTAAAGTTTAAGAAAGAAGTGATTCTTGGAAGCAAATTTAGAATCTTTAATAATTACCAAGGAAGCAGTCATCCGTGATGTGACAGATTGTGAACTTTGTGTTTTATGACTAGAATCCAAATCACTTGGCCAAGTCTGGAAAAGTGTCACCAGAGCCTTTGCTAGATTCAGTTCAAGTCCCTATGTTAGGGATCCACTGTGAGAATCCCTCTCCTCCATCTCATCCTTGAGAGCAGGTGTGCTGTGTGTTCCTAACCAGATAGGCACTGGGATGTTCCTGAACCTCTACAGTGCCGTTCATAAGTTAGAGGCCAGACAGATATTATCTATGACAGTCATATGTGAAGTGGACGACAGGCAATACAGCCCATGTTTACAATTTGGAATAATGAGACTATGTATTAGCTTTTGTAAGATCTTGGATGTTCTTAATTTTCTCATAATTAATGAGATAAAACTTTACTATATTGTAAAAATACATGGTGTGAAAAGTAGGCAGAAAGAGACCAGTGGGTGAGCTAACACCGCCATTGATTCTGTCAGGCAGGCACAGATGCACCTTCCACCCCTTTTGTACTTACAAAAGCTATGAAGTAAGTGTTCTTGTAGAGCAGAAGCCAAGTCTGAATTTACTGCCATCAGGACCCACGTCCTGGTCTCTATCCATCAGTAACTGGAGCAGCATTTGAAGGCCACGTGTAATCTGCATGATATATCCTATGACTTTGCTAATTCTGAAAATTAGCCAGTATGCTTGTTTTGTAAATATCATTCCTCCATTGCAACCTACAACTTTTCCTAGATGCTCTACCTTTTAATACAGAATTGTTTGCTCTAATTATAAACTGAAGTTGAAAATATAATGGACGGTGTTTCATACCAGCAACTCTCTACCTTGAGCTAGATTCCCTTTTAGCTTCTTAGAGATAAATTATTTACTAGTTTCTTTACAATCATATTAAATTCACTGGACTAAGGAAGAATCCCAGACCCCTTAAACTAGCCATGCTTTTAAGGGCCCCAAGTTGTCAGCAGCAGCAGCAGAGTGTTGTAATAAGGAATAGTCGGACTTCACTTACATCTTACAAAATTATTCTGTCAATAAAACTGCCCAAAACTTCTCCTGATTTGTAGAAAGCTGTGGTGATATTTTGTTTGTGCTCTAACTAATGAGGCTTGCCTGAAGATTAGAGTGCAGAGCTAATCCCCTAGTTGGCCATAGAGGCCAGGCATTGGTGGCACACACCTTCAATCCCAGCAATTGGAAGGAGGAAGCCGGAAGGCCAGGAGTTCTAGGCCCCTCTGGGCTACACAATATTGAACAGTCTATTATAATGGAGCCAGGTGGTAGTGGCTCATACCTTTAATCCCAGTTCATCTCCCCACCTCTCCTGTCCCCCTGATCCACCACCAGCACCACCACCATCACACCACCCCATTTCCCTCCCAGAAAAGAGCAGGCCTTCCAAGGACATCAGCGAAACAAGTTGGCAGGCAATGTTGGTGCTACCTTTAATCCTCCCACTCAGGAGGCAGAGGCAGGCTGATCTCTGAGTTTAAGGCCATCTTGGTCTACAGAGTGAGTTTCAGGTCAGTGAGACCCTGTCTCGGGGACAAAGATGACACAATAAGATACAGTAAGACCAGACACAAACTGGGAAAGGCAACTCAGTAGGAGGAAAGGGTCCCAAGAGCAGGGGAGAGAGAGAGGCAGCCCCCTCCCACTGTCGGGAGACCCCTCTCCCCAACAGACGCTGCTGTGAGGCGGGTCTGAGCGCTCAGATAGTGAGTGCATGTTAAGAACCCTTAGACACTTTATCTCTAATGTTGCTGCTGTTTCTGGTCATTGTAATAATCCCATGGGTAAATGGACTTGTCAGCGACTTCCAGCAGTCTGCCTGTGGTTCTACCCATCAACAGATGTGGGCTGCAGAGTCCTGCATCGTATGTACAATTGTCCTTTAGAGTTTGGAATGAGAACAGTTAAAAACTTGGTAGAAAAATGGGTATTTTAAGCAGAAATGCAAGTTTTCAATCTATAGCAATCTTGTAGTGGTTTATTTTCCCCGTGTGTGTGTGTGTGTGTGTGTGTGTGTGTGTGTGCACGCGCACGCGTGCGTGTGTGCGTGTGCATTACAGATAAATTCATTGTTTCTCATGCACGTTATGATATCTGGAGAAGACACAGTGCTGTTAAAGAGCAGGAGCACATTTGCACTTTGTGACTTTGAAACCGTGTCATAGAAAAGATGGCTCTAAAGATAGTAACTTGAGATGTTCTAATGTCAAAGTGTTTCATCAGGAACAATGAGTGTCCAGTGTTAAATAAATACCTTTATGTGCCAGGTGTGATGATGGTATGGATCTGTAATCCCAGCATCAGGAGGTGAAGGCAAGACGATTGTTAATGTAAGGCCAGCGTGGGCTCCATGCATTTCTAAGCCAGCCTGGGCTATATTGTGAAACAAAACAAAACAATAATAAAGAGAAGTATTAGACTCACTTTTCCCTGAGTGTGACCACTCATTTGACTCTTCATAAAAACAAGTAAGAATCAGGAATTTCAGAAAGAATTGGCAGGAGTTCAAGGGCAGCTTGGGCTACAGAGTGAAACTCTGTGTCAGAGCGTTTGATTTTCCCAGGATCTTTTATAATAGCATTATTTGATGGGGATAACACAGCATATTGTGGCCCTTCTTGAATGAGTATTTTACAAGTTAGACTTCATGGTTGCACATTTAGGGAATGTTTGGGGTGAAGACATTTGTTCTAGTCTTTGTTCTTACAGGGTGTAAAACTTGGCCCTCGGATGGTAAAACACCCCATTGAGGACTTCTTTATGTATGGCCGTGGAGAGTGCCTGGCTTTCCAAAAACAAATTAGTATTTGGAAAATAATTCTGGAAAGCCCCCATGTTATAAACTAATAGGTGATGCCACTGTTTTATGTGAGAATGTGAATTCTCTGAGTGTAGAAGTTGTATTTACATTTTGATGTGTCTTCTTGGGGACTGTTCCAAATACTTAATTTTTAGTTTGCTTCCTGTCCTATGTCTCCACTAGGAGCCTGATTGAGTTGTATTTGATTAGTGATGTCTGTGGCGAATGTAGAGGGTTCTGAGTTTCTACCTTTGAGGAACTCAGCAATTAGTAGAGGAAAAACATGACTTTTAAAACAAAATTGTATTTCAGTGCTGTCAATGACAAACCATCACCCAAATTCCCAAACCACAGTTTAGAAAAATCTATGTAGTTTTCAGTTACCGAGAGAAGTGCCTTCCAATTAGAATTCCTGCAGTGCAAATAAGTACTCTTGAAATAAATATCCACACGGGACTTAGGTGAGCTGTGCTGTCCAGGTGCTGACCAGCGGTGCTAATCATCCTTTGCCTGATTCCACTGAACCATGAGTGGCTGACATGATCCCTGATAGATAGTCAGCCCTGGATGGTTAGAGTTGACAACACGTTATATGTACTTCCAATAACCTTCTTTTCCTTCCTTGCAGTTTGGACCGGAAAATCCCTTTAGAACACAGCAAATGGCTGCCCCTAGAAATATGCTTTCTGGATATGCTGAGCCAGCACATATCAATGACTTTATGTTTGAGCAGCAAAGAAGAACATTTGCCACATACGGTAAGGCGATGATGAAACTTAACAGTGCTAAGTTTGGCTTTACTAAATGCATGAGTAATGTATGCCATCATTCATTTTGTGTTCTGGCTTTTTAAGTTTATTCATCTAGATTTAACCAAAGAGGCAGTGTACCTTCTTATAAATACTGAATGGAAGTCGCATTGGATACTGAGCTTTTATTTTAAATCCTCTGTGGTCCTAGAGCCAGATTGTTCCTTGTTACTGTACTTGGTAATGAACATTTGTTATTAGATGACCATCACATTCAGATAATTATTAAGTTGGTAAATGAAAATGTAGTATAAAAATATATTCATTATCGTAAACACTTCTTAACTTTGTTTTCTTTTCTCTTAGTTATTGAAGGATGTTAGCCAGTAGAATAGTAACAAATCCATAGTATAAAATAACTATAGTCTGTCAGTGATGGGGTCTTAAGTTAACTAGTAATAAAAGTAGTTGTGTGAAGGATTTGTCCTGTATTATTAGGTCGTGAATCACCAATCAAGGATGCAGTCACAGTGAACACTCCACACCAGCTGGGATGTAGCTCAGTTAATAGGCCACTGCCTGAGCATGTAGGCCCTGGGTTCAGTCCTGAGAGCAGTGTGCTAATGTCTGCCTGTAATCTTAGTATTCTAGGATGTACAGGGCCTGAGGATCTGCATGTCAAGGTCATCCTCAGGTATATGTTGAGTTTAGGCCAGCCTGGGCTACATGAGATCCTGTCTCAAAAACAAACAACAATAACAACAAAAAGGACTGCATAATTGCCCTAGAAGATTTCATTGATACTTCTGGTCCAATAAAATGGTTGCAAGTATATTTTGTGCCCTCTGCTTGTATAAGGAGTACATTGTAAGCCTATAGTAATGTGAAACACATTAAAAACTAAGTCATGAGAGACAGGCATGTGGCTCAGTAAGAACACTTGGCTCTTCTTTCAGAGGACCTGGGCTCAATTCCCAGCACCCATGTGTGGTTCATTATTGTCTGTACTCCAGTTCTGGGGACCCATAGCCCTCTTTACCAGGCAGTCACATGGTGCATAGACATACATGCAGGCACAATACCCACACATAAAAAATAAAACAAAAATGTGTGAGTTTATACATTCTGTCATGTACTGATAGACAGTCATTATTATCGTGCATTTAATTTCAGTACCAGGAACAATTAACATTTTTAGAAATCAAGGTCTGCTAGACTAACGTCTGTAAGAAATCTTGAAGTATTAGCTTTCATGTTGGTTCCAGCTTTCAGTATTAAAAATGCAGTTTGTGTGTTATAGTACAGTAAGATGCCATTCATAATATAGTAGTGAATATTCTTGTGCATAAAACTTTATACATTATTACTGCTTTCTTAAATATATTCCAAAAGTAGATCAAAGACTATTTTTACACTCGTGGTACATTATCAAATTGCTTTCTGAAAGAATTTCCCCAGTTTATTCTACCATGTGATACATGGAAGGCCACATATGAAAGCTGCACCCTGGACCCGTGTGATTGATTTTCCCTTTGATAATCAAAATAGTATGTCTTTATTCCAGTTTGATTTTTCCTATATATTTCTTCTGTATATTTTCAAGTAATTTTTTTGTAAATTGTTTATAATTTCTTTTGATTAACTTATATTTTATAACCATGAGGGTATAATGACAAAGTTAGTGTTACAACCATTTCAAGTATGATTACCAGAAGGAAAAATAAATAAATACTAACTCCACTGAGGAAGGCAGCAGATGAAAGGAAGACCTTCACACAGAGCTGAGTTCCTTCCCTCTGGACCAAGACTGGCCACATGAGCTGGGGGCTGGTGTTACAACGAAGAAGGATGGCCAAGGACACCCTCCTCATTCCATCCCCCAATGCCATGCAGTGCCATTCTATAAACATAAATCTCATTTCAATTGTATTTTGATAAATCTGCATGTTTGAAGTGTACATTTTCAAACTTAGACGGTTGTGGTCTATATACCTAGACTTTAATGAGATAAAAGTCTCATTTAAAAATTCAGGTGCAGGGCTGGAGAAATGGCTCAGTTAAAGGCGAAGGTACACAGCCCCAAAATTCATGTATAACACAATATTTTGTATATCAGGTTACCAGATGTAAGATGTGCTTCGTGTAACCGTGGCCTTCGGTGGGCCAAAGGAGCCCAGGGAAAGAAAGTCTACCCAAATGTACTCTTGTTAGTTTTTCCCAAGTCCGCTACTGCAATAAATACTTGGTATAATCAGTCTTCATTATATTTCAGCTTATTCACAGGGGGAAGCCAGATCATCAGTTAACCTGTGGTTTGCAATCTTTTTGTATATCAAAGATAACAAAAAAAGTCTCTGTTATCCCATAGTTCAAATCATTAATGTGCAAACATTGTAGTTCTAAACTATTCTTGCAGGCTTTGAAGCTTCTTTTCCATTGTGAGTTTTCAATGGAGTTACATTTTTCCAATGGGTAGTCATTCTTGGAATGATTGTAACACTAAGTTTATCCTTATACCCTTAAAAATCTGAAGTAGCTCAGGGATTCTACTCCAGAACCACTCTTGTGATATCAAGCCCTCTCCTCTGGCTAAGAACACACTTTAACAGTGGGAAAAAGAAAGTCTATGCAGATGAGCTAATAGACAGATGGTTGGTTCTATTCTGGTATGTTGTAAGGCTGATTTGAACTCCTACATCCTTGGCCTGTTTCACAGTTATACTTCATAACAGTCTTTTTTATGTTTCCCCAAAGAAATTCAATCTTCAGCTGCAAAAATAAAAGTAAATGTTAAATCCATCCCGCAGCATGTGCCCTTTAAAAAGTGCACCAGTGATTTTCGTGTCTGTCGACATGGTTGTAGGCCTTAGCCTGGTGATCTGGCTCAGCTTTATGAACATGCTGGATTATTCTGAAGGCTAATTTGTCAAACATTTGTTGTAATAGTACATCCACTCAAGAAAAGTCTAATCTGAATGTACGTACCCTTTGTTTTCCTTGGTACTCTTTGACCCATGAAGACCACAAGTCCACACAGCGTGTGCTGTGTAACTGGTTGAAGGGTCATGTTCATATGCCCCAGATAGCCTCTTCTCTTCCCAGAGAAACAGCAGGAACTGCTTCTAAGAACCCTTTTTAAGATCAGAGACGACTGCCCTAACTAAGAAGGATATTTTCCAAATTATACCTGTATGTTATATATAACTTCTTACCCTGTTTCTTTTCAGTTTAATAATGTTCTAACTGTGGTATCCATTATCAAGAAGGAAAAGGAAATAACTTCTAACTTTCTAAACACAGACTGTACCTTTCTTTTAAACTCTGAATTTAAATGGCTCTGAATTCACAGCTAGGAAGGCTCTTAGTACTGCAATGATTGTTAGACTCCTCCTATGAAATACTGCTTGCTGTAGTCTCTCATGAGGCCGCCTGACACATGGGTTAAGTGTTGGAAATGGAAATAGAACTCAGAAAGGAAGGCCTAATCTTTAGGACACGTTTGCTACCTGGAAAGGAAAATATGAAATGGGTGTTCGCAGACAGTAGTAAGCTGAGTTGTAAAAGGGGAGTTGCTCATTTGTACCTGTTTGCTTTCAGGCTATGCACTGGACCCTTCACTAGATAATCATCAGGTGTCTGCTAAGTATATTGGTTCTGTGGAAGAAGCTGAAAAGAATCAAGGTAATGTATTTGGAATGGGTAATTACAGTGAGTGTCTTGTACTCACCAGACAGTAGGGAAGAGTAGTATTTGTTTAGTTCCTGATCTTCTCTTTAAGTTGAAGTAACAGCGTCGTAGAGCTCAGACAGGTAGTTAGAGCCCTTCCTGCTTACCACTCACGCTAGCCACTCTCCAGCTATGCTGTCTCTCCAGGAAGGGGGCCATACTTACCTCTTTTGGCTATTTTGAGTACTTGGCAACATGCCAGCCACTACAAATCATTCATGCATAGGTAAATTTGGCAATTGGCCTCTGGCTGTCAAGCTAGATTTTTTAACAGGAAATGCCATACTAGGTGTCTGTTGAAATAATTTCTGACAAATTGCTGTAATGCCAATTTTTAATATGTCTTTTAAAATATATTTATGTTCCTATTCACTTAGTGAGTGTGACAGACATCATAACCTAAATGCCACCTTAGTATACAAAACTCATCAGAATATTGGACTCTATTTATAAAATGCGCTCATTGCATAAGGGTAACCCTATATTATGAAGCTCCCTACTTGTATGAGCTAATTAGTATTGAAGTAGAATTTTAATTTGCTTTGTTGTAACACAGAACCCATTGAAAACTGCTTTGAGTTCATATAGGTGGGCTTTTTTTCTTTCAGTTACACCTCTGTACACACACACACACACACACACTTAGATTCTTAGTCACCTTGTGACCAGGACCCTTAAACATTTCTTTCAGTTTAGTTGGTACAAACAGTGTGCAGCTTCACCTACTGATGAAAAAAAAACATCATCCTCTGTCAGTCTTTTTAAGGTCGATGACATTAGAGGCGAAGTTTAGATTGATATATGGAATAAATACCAGATTCCTATGATATATTGTTTAATTTGTATTGTTATATACACATGAAATAAAATAGTAAGCATTTATTGTAGTCTAGTTTCATTTTTAAATAATAAATTACAGTTTATTTTTGTTTTCAGAGTTGCTGGCATCTCTCTGGGCATGATGGTGTACCCCTATAATCCCAGTTAAGGCTGTCCTGGGCTACATGAGGCCTTGTCTCTGAAAACAAAACAAAAACGAACATTGGTTTTTGATTCATTAAGCATCTCCCCTGTCCCCCACACCTCACCCCAGATCTGTCATGAGTCTCTAAAAGCCCAAGACCAGCAACCTGGTAGCACCCCACTGCCTGGGACCTCTCCCACCAAGCAGGAGCTGCTCTACCTCTTCTTCAGCTTCTCTGAAACGACAAACCAAAAGAGGGCGTTGACCATGTAAGGTCTCATGTCCTTTCAAGTGTTAGAATGCTGAGTGTCTTGTCAGCAAGAGTGCTCTGTATGGCAGATTCAGACAGCTTTTGGTTTTGGTTGCTCATAATTACTTTAGCCAAATGAAATCATGTATGCTGATGTTTCTAACGCGTATAGGCTTGCTTACTTACTGTGTATGTTTGTTGTTAATGTAGGGTTAACTGTATTTGAAACTGGTCAGAAGAAAACAGAGAAGAGGAAAAAGTTCAAAGAAAACGATGCATCGAATATTGATGGTTTCTTGGGACCGTGGGCAAAATATGTAGATGAAAAAGACGTAGCCAAACCTTCAGAAGTAAGCTTTGGTGTCCTTTCATCGTCAGTTCAGTGTGTGCTGTGTTTGTATCAGTCATATCTGTGTTGATAAATGGGAGATTTCCCTAGAGGACCCATGACTCATCAAAATTCCTCAGCCTCAGCCAACTGAGAAAATGTAAATTGTCTTTGCTTTTCTTTGCAATGTTTGTATTTGCCTTTCTTTTTCTGCTGTGTTTTCTCCTGTGCTCTTTTGACTAACAGAATATATAGCCATTTTAAAATAAAATTAGCATTAATAGTGTTCATAGATTGCCCTGCTTGCTGTCCTTCCAATACCTGGCAAATGTCAGCCTTGCTGCCATTTGAGAATTGGTGGGGGCTTTACTTACTAATTTATTTTTAAAATCTCAAGTTTTATCTATATTATTTTGTAAAGAGATTCCTGAGAAGTTTATAAAGTAAAACTATAGAATTCTTCCCCACCGCTATAACCCACTGGGTATGTGAAAGCTAGGCTCTGTCCTTGGTTCTGGAACACAGTGATGGACAAGGTCAAGGAACTCTTGTCCTTATGAAGTTTGTATTCCAGCTGTTCCTTACGCCCGTGTAACCTAGTAGCATGTATATGCTGCTGTCTTACTTTAGCTATCATAGCTTGACTTGTTTAGTAGAGATATGGATTTGCTGTTTTCCTGTCTCCCCCTTCCCAGCTCTCCCCCAAAAATTGATCTCAAAGCCATAGTTGTTGCTTATGTCCTTACTGATGATGTGAAGTCGACTTGCTGAAAGAAACAGTGCCTTCTAAAACTCTCTGATACCAGATTTTCTGATGGCTTGTCTTTTCATTTGCATAATTAGCATAACATTACATTTATTTCTAGATGTATAAACTTCATACACACACACACACACACACACAGACAAACATAATCAGTTTAAAAATATTGCCAGGCATGTGTTTAATGGCATCTTGTGATCTGTATAAAAGGTAAATCCATCTCTGATTGTGGAAGAGTTAGCATTGCTACCCCAAGAGACATTATTTGTAGCGAATATATGGCCAACAGTGGGCATGATGAGATTTTAGAAATTCATTTTAAAGTTTACATCTTTGTTTCCTTAGGAAGAACAAAAGGAATTAGATGAGATCACAGCGAAGAGGCAGAAAAGAGGCAAACAGGAAGAGGAGAGGCCTGGGGAGGAGAAGACAATCCTACATGGTAATAGCATCCATGTCTTTACTGTCGTGAAAATCTATTGATTTAGAATCAGTGGATACTTTAAAAAAAAGTAAGGAGGAACTTGAATGGTCCGTAAGTTCTTTCCTAAAATGGTAGATACCTTAGGTGCGTCAGCCATTTATAGCTTCATTTTTAACCTAAGAGGAATAGTCATGTGTCGTCACGTATTACATGTCACTTTTGCAGAATGAACTGTTTCCATAGCGGTAGATTTGAGATTACCAGACTTACAAATGTACTATAATGCCCCTGTTCATTAACAGTCAGTTACAGTGAGGGATTTCATAGAGGTCAGCAGCTTAGCGAGTGATTCAGGGCTGGCCATGCTGCTTTGTCACATCGAGTAGGTAGGTTTCAGGAGGCCACATTCCGCTTCACAAACCAGATTTATGTCTGAGGAGTCTGGTAGTGCTCCCTAAACAGTGCCTGGCGGCCTTAGGGAGCATCATGATCAGTGACTGGCGGCCTTAGGGAGCATCGTGATCAGTGACTGGCGGCTTTAGGGATCTCTGTGAGCAGTGACTGGCTGCCTTAGGGAGCATTGTGATCAGTGACTGGCGGCCTTAGGGAGCACCGTGATCAGTGACTGGCTGCCTTAGGGAGCACCATGATCAGTGACTGGCGGCCTTAGGGATCTCTGTGAGCAGTGACTGGCGGCCTTAGGGAGCACCGTGATTGGTGACTGGCGGCCTTAGGGAGCACCGTGATTGGTGACTGGCGGCCTTAGGGAGCAATGTGATCAGTGACTGGCGGCCTTAGGGAGCACTGTGTTCGGTGACTGATGGCATTAGGGAGCACCTAGCCTGTACCGGCACACTGCCAGCTTCTGTAGATATACTCTGTTATGTGTGTCAGCTGCTTAAGTTTTTCCCACTCATGCTCCATCTCACCTGAGAAATCCCTCTGTGATGTCTGGTGTCCCTAGCAGGTATGAAAGACTGGTGTGCATAGTAAACATTACCTGGTAATTAAAGACATTTGTAAATTTTGGTATGTAAATTTTACCTTTTATTTTTTTCCTTTTGAGGTAGGGTTTCTCTATGTAGCTTTGTAGACCAGGCTGGCCTCAAACTCACAGAAATCCTCTGCCTCTGTGCTGGGATTTAAGGCATGTGCCACCACCCAGGTAAATTTTAGCATTCTTTAAATATGAAAACAAGTTTTCATGCTAAAGAAATCAACGTTCTTATTTATTGTTACATGAGAAATAAATCTTGGTTGAATATCAGATAATTCGGAAGGTAGAGAACATTTTGATGTTTTTCAGACTTGATCACTATTTTGATTTTATAGTCACCACTTTGCATGAATATATAGTACAAAATGGCAGATATTTAGGGCCATTTCAGTAATTGTTGGAAATCCTGTTCTAAGAACTCATTTAGTAATTTTTAATGGCGATCAACCCAACCACTCAAATAGCACCTTTTTAAACCAATCCAACTTAGTCCAAGGGTTCACTAATTGAGTGTGTACATGCTAAGAATGCTCACAGGGAAACGGAAAGTCTCTTTTTCCAGTACAGTAAAAACACCGCAACTTATAGCATGCAGTCGCCTTGCGTGTGAGCTGAGGGTTCTTCAAGCAGTGGTGACAGAACAGGAGCATGCACAGGAGCATGCACAGTGCAGAGTGCATAGAGAAGCCGGCTGCAAACACCTCCCATTCCTTATGCATTTGATTATAAAGTCATATCTGGTCAGGGCCGTTGCAGAGTCCTTTTGTTGTGGCCATATGAGCTGTGGTGTAAGCCGCCCGCCTGTGTAACATGTTGTAAAGTTTGCAGTGGTGATGGAGAAAGGCAGGTGTAGCAGAAGCAGACAGTGTAAAGTCTCAAGACGGGGAAAAGAGCTACCGCTTGCTCCTTGTTCCCTTCCGTCTTGGCTGTTTCTCACCCTGGGCATGATGTTTTGGTTGCTCATGGCCACTGTGCTGTCATGAAGTCTTTATCACTGAGATGCGTAGCTCAGTGAGAGACCTGTAGATCCTATTCAAGGTCTTGGGTGTCTAGGAATTCTAAAATACCACCTTCCATTGTAATGATGGCAAGGATCTCAGGAGCTTAATTTTAGCCCACCCAGGGCAGAGTCTTAGCATCTGACATCATCAGCGTGGTATCTCCTCGGTCTCAGTATGGACAGTACACCTATGCATTTGTTACTGCCATAAGAATACGGATTTCACAACTGTGGCTTACGTGTATTTATGGCTTTCTTTTGCCTTTTTTTTTTTTTTTTTTTTTTTAGTTAAAGAAATGTATGACTATCAGGGCAGGTCCTACCTTCACATACCTCAGGATGTTGGTGTTAATCTGCGGTCGTCTGTGCCACCTGAAAAATGTTATCTTCCCAAAAAACAAATTCATGTGTGGTCTGGACACACAAAGGTAAGGCAGCTGAGTGTTCCCACTCTGAAACACAAAGGGGAGGCGGTGTGGAGCTTCAGCCGTTGACACGGGGAAGTCAGGACAGATACAGGGTACATGTAAGAGAGGCTCTGGAGAATCTTCCAAGGGACGGTCACTCAGCAGTCTTCAAGGCCGTCCAGGTTGCTCATGATGCAAGCTTTATGGGTCAGTGTCCATCCTCCATATTGTTCCTATTGCCTGCCTCCCCCACGAGTTCCTGCTGCCATCTGCCTCCTCTTGGCATCACACAGTGAGTGATGGGCAGATGGTACCAAGCCTGCTGCTTAGCCTCAGGGACGCTGCTTGCCTCCTGGGGTTGTTACACACCGGAGGGGAGGCATGTTTTCTGTTCTAAATTATTTGACTTAGATGATTTTGAACGAATGCAAAGTGAGATATTTGCAAACTGTAGAGGGTGACGTCCCTTGTCATCTGCAGCGGTCCAGCTGTTGGTTTCCAGATCTCTGCCAAGAACAGGGGCCACAGAAAGGAAAGAAGTGGCGCACGTAGCAGCTTTGACTTGCTCAGCATAAGGAAGTGAAAACTTAAAGTCTAAAATAAAAAGCCTTCCATAGCTTAGTGTCGAGATATGCCTCTTGGAACACTGATAAAGGCAATCCCAGAGCGTGATGTTCAGAATACAGAAAGCCAGCAGGGTAGGTTGCTTGCGCTGTCTGTCTTCTTGAGGGCTTCGGGGCAGTAATGCGGTGCCTTTTTCCAGGGTGTCAGTGCGGTCAGACTGTTTCCTCTTTCTGGACATTTGTTGCTGTCTTGTTCCATGGACTGTAAAATTAAGGTGAGTTTTCAGTAACCCAGTGAGCTTGCAGAGCCAGGACTTTGGTTAAGTCTGTTTGAATAGCCATAAATAAATCTGGTGTTGTTAGACAATTAGAGGCCAATTGTTTTCTGTACACCCCTACATATGTAGCTTTTGTGGTGCTTCCAGACCAGATTCAGATATGGCTCTGTGGTGCAATTGGCTGGACTCTAAAGCTCAGACAGCTGATTAGGATGTAATCCGATCACTTTGGCATTGGGCACATAAATATTGAATCAGGAATAATGCATTTTTTATCGAGGTTATGGGTCTGTAACTGAGTTTGTTTCTTCCTCACTGACTGAGGAAGAACGGAAATGTGATGGAACCCCGTGTCTAGTGTAATGTCCCCTTTTCTCCTCAGCACTTGGGCACCACCGGGCGGCTGTGTAACTGGCAGCTGTCACTCTTGTCAACTCCGGTGTGAAGAAAACGTCTTTGAAACCTTAAGTTTTAGAGAGTAGCTAAGTGTCTTTGTGTCCCCTCTGTGTCCAGATCATTACAGTGGTCAGTAGATTCCAACCCTGTAGTGTTCTCGTGGCTTGGAGAGTCAAATCGTTAAGGCTCCCAGCAGTGAGCTGCGGTGTTTGAGGGAAACAGGCGTCTGGGCATTTATCTGTAATAGAAACACTTCGTCTCTGATTAAAAGTTTCTCAGAAGACCCCGATTTCCTTTAACTTTCATTGGCATTATGCCCTTCCCTTGGGTCAAACAAAACATAAAGTTGAATTTAGCGCACACCTGTAGACATTAGTAGGCACTGTTATATGCAGGGGTATTACGTATTAAAGGTTTGAAAGTACTGACTCTTCATGGGAGTGGTCCCTTCATATTGATGTGAGTAACCATGGCACAGGCAGGCACAGGCGCGTGTTCCATCCTCTGTGGGAGCATGCCTGACAGGAAGGCCGAGGAGGGAGGGCGGGGAGACTGGAGTGGGCTTGAGAAGGGGGTAGAGTGAGTCAGCAGAGTGAACACTGAAGCCTACAGCATGAAGTAAGCAAGCGAGGGAAGGGGGCGGGCCCCGGGGCGCCTGCTGGTGCCTGCGGGACCTGCCCCTCCTGACTGGTTGGCACTGGGTGGCCAGAAAGTGCTCTGTCTTAGAGCGCTGTAGCATTGGTGAATCTGAGGTAGACAAGAGGGATGCTAGTTCTGAAGCCTTTGTATTTATCTGCATTAGATATGATGAAAAAACACTTTTCGGTATTAAAACGGTACATAGTGACAATCCTAATAACACTGAATTCCTTTAAGATTAGTTTATAATGTTACAAAGTAAAAACTATTCCTCATAGAAAAATACAAAATATAGGAAAAACCAGTGAGAAAATAAAAATACCCAGGTAAACTCCGTATATAACAAATCCTCCTGATGCTTTGATGTAAAAACCTCTCCAAGCATAAAGATATGTGTGTATATATCTATATCCCAGAAGTATAGCACAGAATGGCAAACTAGTCGGTAGTTAGTAATTAAATCCACTGTGCCTACTAAGATGTTGTTATTGATAAAGACTTACGTTAAGACTGTTATTCCCAGGGCTAGGGGCTTTCCTCAGCTGCAGAACACAAGCTTGGTGTACATGAGGTCCTGGGTTCAATTACCAACACCATAAAGAAAAGAACTAATATTTCCATGGTTTGTATTTTCTCCAGCTATGGGAAGTTTACGGAGACCGGCGCTGCCTGAGAACATTTATTGGTAATATTTCTTTTTCTCTATGTCTACAAGTGTGTTTAGGAAAGTTTTTGCAAGAAAGATAGCAGCAGCAGTAATTTACTGCCCTGATACGAAGGGCGGTATTCATGGGCCTCCTGAGCTGACTCATGAAGGAGCAACTCTCTCTGGGTGGGCAAAGAGAACTCGGAAGTGAGAGAAGACGCCAGCGTGGTGGGACAAAGTGCTGCGCTGGGGAACCGTGTGTAATAACTGTTTGCCCGGGGTAGGACAGGGAGAGGGTGGGTAAAGGGGGGGGGGGAGCCAGCCGCGCGCGCTAGTAAGAGAGACTGCTCAGTTGGCAGGGAGTGCAGAAGGAGTACGTGGCAACTGGAGTGTACTTCGATAGCAAGCCTACAAGTAGAAAGTAAGTGATACGGTTGTTTTGTTAGTCTATTAAAACGGGGAGAGTTTGGACTAAAGCACAGAGGCAGAAGAAAGAAGTGAACTGAATTCAGTAACAGGGTGTGAGTGATACATGGCAGGGACCTTAGATGACTCGAGGTGGTCAGATGAATGGTAGAGCCATCCGCAAGGGAGGGGGCGTAGTGTGAGCAGCTGAGAAAATGCCCAGTAAGCAGCGGCCGGAGGGGAAGCTCCATAAGGAGGTTGGGAGCCAGCGGCTGAGACCCAGCAAACAGTGGGGCTGAGAACTCCCTGAAGATAATAACAAGGGAGGGGCCAGCGGGGAGACGGACTGCGCCAGCGTAGCCTGACAGACTTCTGTCTTTGTTGCTCCTGTTACCTTTTCCAGATGTAACTGTTACACATGGAGTGGACCACAGTGGCTCCGTTTTTAGATCACAGTCTGTTCTCCCACGCTGTGCTAGCGGTGTGGGCGCTCTGTGCAGATAGACTCTGAGCTAGCACGCCAGCACCCAAGACGTGGAGGGAGACTATTGCCTGTGTCCAGGGGGATGAAATGCCCCAGGCACGGAGGTGCCCTTACTTCCTCACCCGCACCCGCAGAGTCTCAGGGCAAAGCTAGAACGCTCTACAGGCGGCTCTGCGGGGCGGGGCCTGCACTCGCTTGTTGCCATGGCCGTCTACCCTGTGACCGGCTGACTGGGGTTCTGTGATGGGGCGGTCCCAGGGTACAGCCCGTGGGTGACACTTTGAGCCCCGTATATTTTGTGAAATTATTCATGTCTTGGTCATAGTGAAAAATGGGCATGTTTCTGCTTTTTTTTAAACTACATTTTATTTGCCTCAAAAACTTTGAAAAGATTCCTTGGTCTGGCAAGGTTGACATCCAGGTAAAACATAATCAGGGCCCTGAAATTAATTTAGTGTCAGAATAACATCTTTTAAAAAGTAGAGCTGGTATACAGAAGGACTTTGGGAGCGCATTCCCCATGGAGGGATCCTCCCTTAACCTAGAGACAGGAGGGAGGGCCTAGACCCTACTCCAAATGACTTGACAAATTTAGATGCCCCCTCCTGGAAGGCCTTCCAGGTGAGGCCTTACATGTGGAGTGGGGGTGGAGGGCTGGGAGGGGGCATGGGAAGATGGGAGAGAGGAAAAGAGAGGGAGGGAGGGAGGGGGGAGGGAGGGAGGGGGGAACTGGGATCAATATGTATAATAAAATTTTTTTTAAAAATCTTAAAAAAAAAAAGAGCTAGCATCAGTTTTAATGGAATTAGGATCACAGAAATACACAATATACATGAGGCTTGGAACACTTTGGTTTTACTTCCAACATGGTGAGCAATCTGGAAGTGAACCCCCAAAATCTCAGCTTCATTTCTTTGGCTGACGGTAATTAGAACAGGAGATAGATCTCACTAGATTCTTAGCTGATTAGTCATCTATGTGCACACTGCATGTTAAAAGATGCCACGACTGTTCTTAACAAAATATAGCCCAGCGGAACCACCTGCAGAGCATCTTGAAGGAAGACAAACAGCCACCCCCACCCCACCCCACCCCACCCCACCCGCAGCCTGTGCGCACAGATTGCCGGTAAAGCAGGAGATGAGGCTGGGGGCTGACTTGCCGCTTCCCCGAGCCCGCTGTTGAGTACGCCCCTTGTGCCATGCGTGCAGGGGCAGCCCCTGATGTCACCATAGCTTCTGTTGTTCTCCTAGGTCACAGCAAAGCCGTGAGAGACATCTGCTTCAACACTGCGGGGACACAGTTCCTCAGTGCGGCCTATGACAGGTACCTGAAACTCTGGGACACCGAGACGGGTAAGTGCTGCGCACTCTCCTGAGTTAGCACGCCTGTAAGGCCGGCCCAGGCGAGGCGACGCCTTCTCCACCGGCTGCACTGATAGCTCAGTGCGCTTAGACTGAAGCTCGTCTGCACACCCGTGGTTTCCCTGGGAAGCAGCCTCGCCCCTATGTTCATACGGCAAACACTGATGGACAGACAAAGCATTCCGCCCACTGCCTGACCAGTCTCCTTACTCCCCGTGTCTAGTACAGTCACTGCACAGACCGAGAGCAAATGTAATGTAATGGCCTGACTCAGTAACGTAGATCTGAACTCACGTGGGCCAGTGGGTTTTACTTATTACAGCCACATTAATTGCATGGGTATTTTGTGATGGTATAATTGTGTGTTATTAGGAAACGTCCTTTGGCGTCAGGAATGAAGGTACATAGCTACAATCGCTGCACTCATGAGGCTAAGGCAGGAGACCGTGAGGTAGAGGCCAGTCTGAAGATAAAACAAAAAATCCACCTGTGATTTTTCCAAGTTAGTGTTTACAGGACATTGGTATCTATAATAGATTTTAGCATGTGCTAATCTTACATTACTGGTGAGGAAACTGATCCTGAAAGTAGGTTTCTCTAGAGCACAGAGCTAGGCAGTGGCAGAGTTGGTTCAACCCAAGGTCACCCTGACTCCCACCCAGGTTCCTCACTGTAGACGGAAGTTTCTGTTCTGCCCGGTCCCGCAGCCATTTAGTCCCAAGTAAACACACGGAGGCTTATATTGATTATAAACGATGGCCAGCTCTCCTATTTACTAACCCAGTTCTATTAATCTGTACATTCCCACGTGGTCTTGGCTTACCTGTGATGCCCCAGCCTCTCGCCTGCCACCCTTCTCTATCCCTGTTTGGCTTTCCCGCCTGGCTAAATCCTGCCTGTCCATTGACCGAAGCAGCTTTATTCACCAACCAATAAAAGAAACATTTCACAGCACGCAGAAGGACGTCCCATCACCTTGCCTTGCTTGTAGTGGCCCTCACTTCTGACTTTACATTGCCATCATCTGGAGAGTGGCAAAGTTTCTCCCGCCTAAACTCTTCCTGTCAGTGTGTGGCCAGGCTAGTGTCCCCAAGGCTAAAAGGTAACCATCCTGCAGCGCCGAAAAATTAAGATATACCTAAGTATAAAGTGCACAGTTATTCATTGTTTTTTAATAGTAAGCTTCTACATATTTGTTTTAACCACCACCAAGGTAAGACATAGAACATTCTAGCATACTGTAGAGTTCTTGTGTCCTTTCCTAGTCTGCACCCACTCCGCCAACAACAGAACTGCTGTCTCCAGAGATCCTTTGCCTGTTCTTAAAGAACTTGTAGTAGAATTATGCCTTGATTTCTCTTCATTTCTAACTCATCACTCAGCTTGACATCTCATATTCAGTCTCATGGCTTGTACCAATAATGTTTTCTGTTGCTCAAAATATCCCATGCATTGATCTAATTGTAATTTGTCTCTATATGTAGTATGTACAGAGAGAGAGAGAGAGAGAGAGAGAGAGAGAGAGTCTACCTTATTTCCTCAAAGTGTAGGGTCTTTCAACTGAACTGGAAGCTGAAAGCTTACCAGATTTGCCAGACACTGGCCAGCAAGCTCCCGGGATCCCTGTGTCTCCACCCTGCCCCCCCCCGCCCCCAGCCCCCGCCCCTCCTGGGTTTGCAGATGTGCACGGCCATGCCTGGCAGTTTACGTGATGCTTCACCTGCACTGAGAGCGTTCTTACCGATGGAGCCTTCTCCCCAGCTCCTGGAGAGAAGTGTTTAGTGTTACAGCTCTGTGGAAAGTACCAGTGCAGTGCATTGAGAGCAGGCGGGCGCCCTCCCTGGACGTCACTGAGGAGTGACTGTTTGATAAAGGATGAAACTTAACTTTTCTTGTTTAATTTGACTCTGGTTTAGGACAGTGTATATCAAGATTTACAAACCGAAAAGTACCCTATTGTGTCAAGTTCAATCCTGATGAAGACAAGCAAAACCTGTTTGTGGCCGGGATGTCTGACAAAAAGATCGTACAGGTGAGCCTTTCTCGGGGCGTCTGCTAGGCCTGTGAAGAGAACAGAGCTCTCAGTTCGCTGTTGACGTTTGCTGCTTTGCTGGTCCTTGCGTGCGTGGAAGGGAGCGGTCAGGTGATGGGCATGGTTGCTAGGAGCCCTTAGGTTCCAGAGTGTAGTCCGCTGCTTGTTATGAGCCCATCTCATCTGCCCCTCTCTCTTGTTGCTGCACAGTGGGACATTCGCAGTGGGGAGATTGTGCAGGAATACGATCGGCATTTGGGAGCTGTTAATACTATTGTTTTTGTGGATGAGAATCGAAGATTTGTGAGTACGTCCGATGATAAGAGCCTACGAGTTTGGGAGTGGTGAGTTTTCATCAATAAAATGACTTTTATAAAACAAATAGATACATAAAAATAAAAATTATAGTCAAAGCCAAAGCCTGATAACATGCAGCTATTGCATATTTTTCTAGCCAAAGTGTTTTGGTTTGGAAATTGAGATCTAAACTTACTGTCCTTCACAGTCTCTGGAGAACCCTCCGAAGTACGCGGGTTTGAACTGCTGGTTTTGTGGTCATGATAGCTGTCATATTGTGGTATCACACATGCTCTTTGCTGTTTACTTGCTGTTTTTGTACGTGTGTGTGTGTGTGTGTGTGTGTGAGAGAGAGAGAGAAAGAGAGAGAGTCAGAGTCTTGGCTTGTGTTTCCCGAGTACAGTGGAGGTCAAGGACAACTCTGAGGAGCCAGGCTCCTTCATTGTGAGTCTGGAGATCAAACACAGGTGCACACTCCACCCGCTGTCATCTCACCAGCCCCCTCACAGTCTCTACTAGATAGCTTGCTTATTCTTCTTTGCAAAATGGCGGGCAAAGTGTAAGATGTTTGGCTTCGTTTCGGTGTGTGATGGTCACACATAAGCATCCTGGCCTTAGAACAAATCTAAAGAAGATACCAAACTTTTAGCTTTCTTAATGCCTGCTTTGTAATCATTCATGCCCTGAGTTACCCGTTGTGTCAGCTTTAAACAAGCATAGATATATTGAATACTTTTTCCTTTTATCAAAAAAAAAAAAAAATGTTTTTCTAAAGTCAAAAAAAAAATACTTAAACTGGTTTTACTAAGGGTCATGATTGTTTTATGATTTAGTTACAAATAAATAAGTGGCAATCTTTCTTAGTAAAATCAGAGCTTGGGCCAGGCGTCATTGGCGCATGCCTTTAATCCCAGCACTCGGGAGGCAGAGGCAGGTGAATCTCTGTGAGTTTGAGGCCAGCCTGGTCTAGAGATCGAGTTCCAGGACAGGCTCCAAAGCAATACAGAGAAGCCCCGTCTCAAGAAATAAAAAATATAAAAAAATGAAGTCAGAGCTCAGAGCGGTCTGCTTAGCTCAGTTCCAGGGGATTGGATGCCTTCCCCTGTCTTCCACAGACACAAGCACACAAGGTTCCCATACACATAAACATAGCTACTTAAAAGCAAACAGCCAAAGGATGCTGGGCTTTCTTTAATAGTGCTATGCAAGCACTATTAAGAGCTGGAGGTTACGGTACATACCAGCAGCTGTGGCCTTCAAGTCTGCTGAAAGTATGTCAGTAGGCATGGGGGTTTGTTAGTGTCTTCTAACCAAAGGTGTTTATTATGATAAAATATTTCTTAAAGAAAATTTTGTAGAAATGAATAAACATTGCTGTTTATCTTTTCTTTTTAAAATGCCACAGACTTGTTAGCTTTTTGATAAGTTCATTTCCAAACCAGATGATCTGAAATCAGTTCCAACCTTGTTATAATTGAATCACAGATTCTAAGTAGAAAATTGATGCTGTATTTATGACATTTAACTATGTCTAGCAGGCATTTTTGCCATACATAGTGATTTTCCAAGGGTTGTTCGGATTTAGTTCTTGTTTTAGAATGGTGGTTCTCAACCTTCCTGATGCCGTGACCCTTTTATGTAGTTCCTCGTGTCATGCTGATCCCAACAGTAAAATTGTTTTGTTGCTACTTCATAACTACAATTTTTGCTAATGTTATGAATCATAATGTAAACACCCGATGTGGAGAACACCAGATGTGTGGCCCTGTGGAAGGGTCCCTTGACACTGTTGTAGTTGATGGTACCAAGGCTCCTGTTGCTGTGTTTACTAAAGATTGACCCCAGGATGTGGTTGCTTGATTTAGAACAGTCTAGTCTTCACCCATGCTATAAAATTCACTACCCACTAGTGATAAATTCAAAGGGAGGACATGAATCTTTTTGAGGACATTTAGCAATATAAGAGCCAAAGGTAAGTCTCAGAACTAGAAACTAGAACTACTAATGTTGTTAAAGTTTTCACAGAAAGTCATTTGTAAAATAAAAGCTTTTTAATAATAAACTGCACCCTGGAAGTTTAATGGATAGCACGTTGCTTTTATTTGGATAAATTTGGGTAATTCTTCCAAATGTGCTTTTGTGGATTTCTCATTCTAATATGTGCGCAATTTTCAACTTTTAGGGATATCCCTGTGGATTTTAAGTACATAGCAGAGCCCAGCATGCACTCCATGCCTGCAGTGACTCTGTCTCCAAACGGTGAGTTGGAAAGTAGGGTGTGCTCTAAAATGAGCTACTGAGACACGGGGCAATGGCTGGAGTCCTAAGGGCACTGCGTGTAGGGGAGGCGGGAAGTCCGTGCTTGTGTAAGAAACCCACTCAGCAGCAGGAGTAATTACTGGTTTTTCTATGTGAACACGTACCCACTCTTTTGTTATGGAAAAATAAAAGAATCAATAACACAGTTGACATGAAGGATTTCTGACAGTTGGTTTTTTTTTTTTTTTTGCTTCTTGGTTTTTAATAATTTTTCTTCCAACACAGATCAGGTTCAGTAAGTCATTTAATAAGCACTTTCAGGAGAATAGGAAATTGTGGTCTTGATTCTTCAGAATGAGAACATTTTAGCAATTTGCCTGTAAAAGGTTTTTCAGAGCCGTTTTTCAGCCCTGTTTGACATTGGGGTTAGTTGTCGTCTACATTTTCTGTAGGGTTTGATGGCTAGCAGGAATAGGTCACCACAGTGGGGAGCTTGTCTGATGAGCCCTCGCCCTCCTTACACTCTGTGGACAAACATGCACAGGTATAATCCTCTGGGCCACACGGCTTTGTTGAGCTGGTATCGGTGCTCACGTCTGGAGTCCCTCTCCTTCATGGCACATACCTGTCTTCCTTTGACTGCTCATGCTTCGTGCAGCCCACTCATGGCATGGAGTGTTAATGGTGTGTTCTTTTGTTTTTAGTTTTTTATATGTATTAATGTTTTGCCTACATGTATGTCTATGTGAGAGTGTCTGTCAGATCCCCTAGAACTGGAATTACAGACAAAGAATTACAGTTGTGAGCTGTCAAGTGGGTGCTGGAAAATGGACCCGTGTTCTCTGGAAGAGCATCCGGTGTTTTTAACCACTGAGTCATCTCTCCAGCCCTAGCAGTTTGTTCTTGTTGACGGCAGGGCCCAAGTTGAAAAGAAAGGGTACTGGGGGTTGTGGGAAACAAAGCTGCATCTCTAAAAACAAAATAAATGAATATTGTTTCCTGTTCAGTAATCCATTGTCTTTTAAGTAGCAGTAGGCACACTGATACCATCAAGCTCTGTGAGTGTGTGTTTTCAGAGCTGCCCTGGGAGTAGACAGAGGGCAGGGAGCATCTACCCCTCCATCTGCCTTTCTGTGGCCGCTCAGTGACAGTTGGCAAGAACCCTGTCATAGAAAAATGGCCGAGTCCGTACACTTTGTCAGTCCCCGTATGTACCCCCAGGCATCAGGGTTCAGAACTTCATGTATTGGTTTTTCGCCCTTCTTGAAGAAGCCTTTACCTCGCTCAAGCAGGGCTAGGACTGTTTCTTGGGTAATTTTTACAAGTGTCTAAGATGTGAGTAAGTACTGTGCTCAGGGCCTGGGGTTGCGGACTCCAGGCTAGAGAAAAGCAGCAAGCCCTTTAAGAAACAGCTGCTGCCGTCTCCTGCTCCTTGGTTTTGGTGCACTTTTACTGATAATCTTCCGTTCGCCAGAGCTAGTCTTCAGTAGTTCAGTTCCATTCTATAGTTGTATTGTCTGGAGTTATTATAAATTAATTCCACTTAACATGTTTTGTTAATAACTTAGTTCTGTTGACACAAACCTTGGAAACTGTTTCCTTATTTTTAAAAAGTCAAAAGCTTCCCGATGGGAAGAGTACCTCACATCAAAATGGGATTGTAGGAGCTGGGTCCATTACTTTAGATAAAGCATACCTCTTGTCAGTAACTGATTTGTAACGCTTTACAGGTATACTATAGGAACTTGCTTTTATGGTATTAGAAAGTAGTTGAGCTGGGTGGTTGTGGTACACGCCTTTAATCCCAGCACTGGGGAGGCAGAGGCAGGTGGATCTCAGTGAGTTCAGGACCAGCCTGGTGTACAAAACTGCACAAAGAAACCTTGTCTCGAAAATCAAAAGAAGAAAGTGTTGAGCACAAAAATAATGACAGCTCAAATTTTTGAAATAAACTATTCAAAAAATTTAAAAGCCAGGCAGTGATTGTGCACGCCTTTGATCCCAGTGCTTTGGAGGCAGAGGCAGGTGGATCTCTGAGTTTGAGACCAGCCTGGTCTACAGAGCGAGTTCCAGGACAGCCAGGACTACACAGAGAAACCCTGTCTCAACCCCTCCCCATCAAAAAAAATATTGAATCTTCCTCTAAAATCTGTCACTTATTACATTCTACAGGGAAATGGCTAGCATGCCAGTCAATGGATAACCAAATCTTAATTTTTGGAGCACAGAACAGATTCAGATTAAATAAGAAGAAAATTTTTAAGGGCCATATGGTAGCAGGCTATGCTTGTCAGGTGGACTTCTCGCCGGATATGAGGTAAGTTAAGTCTTCATATTCACATGTGACGATACGGTATAGTGATGTTCAGTAACACACTTCAGGTCACTGTGACCTGTGTAATTGTCTTTCAAAATGACAGATACGACATTACAAAGGCAAGAACAAGATATGAAAATTAGATTTGGCTTTTCTGTAGGGTCTTCCTCTGTGCCTTCTAACCCCTGATACGTTCCTATTTATGTCAGCATGGCTTTCTCTCTGCGTTTCTATGTCGCTGATACCAGAATTTCTCATCACAGTGTTGGACAGACATCAAATCTTGTGTGCATATTTGTCTACACTGAAAACAGAAATGCAGCTTTTGGATATTTCTGGGTCACGAGAGTGAAATTTCTGCATTTCTACTCTTATTTAAAACTATATAGGTGGGAGGGATTCAGAGGCCCTGTGGCTTTGTGTATTTGGCATGGTATTAGGCCTCTGGTTCCTCCCTCTGACTTAGTCTTCGACATGTCCAAAGCATCCTGAAGCTAAAAGTGTTTAAAATAAACGTTCACTGCACCGTAACGTGCCTACGGCCTTCCCGTCTAGAGACTCCCAGTCTCATCCGTGAAACATAGCTTTCTAGCTCTTGGGTTGGCAGTTTGGGGGTGGGGTGGAGCCTGGCGACGGTCAGCTTGTACGTTCATTCTTCTGAGTGCAGTACGTTCACATTTCCTCTCTGTTTGTCCACCAGTGTAAGGTGTGTGACTAATGGTGACTTGTTTTCATTCTGTTGCAGCTATGTGATTTCAGGAGATGGAAATGGAAAGCTGAACATTTGGGACTGGAAGACCACAAAGCTCTACAGCCGGTTTAAAGCCCATGATAAAGTGTGCATAGGGGCCGTGTGGCACCCACATGAGACCTCCAAGGTCGTCACCTGTGGCTGGGATGGCCTCATTAAATTGTGGGATTAGTGGCATTAGTCCTTTCACGGTCTGGGGTCATTTTCGATCCAGTGTCATATTTAACTATTTAATTATTAAAATGTGTTGGATGACAACTTGATTTATAGGTAATCTTTTCATATATGGCCTTATGAAGTTGCCCATGGTTTTGGTAAGAGCGTTGTAAATTTGCCTCCTAAGTTCCTTGGCAACTTCATCTTGTTCTTTATAGATGTTATTTATATGAAGAATGACAACTAACCATATTTGACAAGTAGTTATTGTTGGCGGGCAGTTGGCATTTATCCATCCCCATAATGTCACTGAAAGGATCATTTTTGGGATCAGAAAAAATGCCTGTTGGATATGGGATCCTAGAGGAAATGATGAACTAGTGACTCAAAAAAGTGCCAGTCACTTACCAACCCAACCGAAGCGGACGGAAAGGCGGGAACAGTTTGATATATACTAAAAGAAGCCTGGGGTTACTGTCCATAGCTATCATTTTCACTGAATCAAGTTCTAGTCTTTTGGCTTCACGAGTTCTGTTGTTTTTATGGCCTGTGTTGTATATTTTTACTTGTAAATGAGTGACCTGTATTGGCCGCGATGTTCCTCTGAGTACTAAGCAATGTAAAATTACAAAGCAGCCACAGTTCCTCCCTTGCCTCTTCCTGATCAAGATGGACAGGACCATATACAGCAAAGCAGAAGGGAGATGTCTGGGAGGCGGAGCTCCAGGGGGCAGGGCAAGCCATGGCTATGAATGTACTCGTAATCACTGTCAGTAAGGACCTGGCTGCACTCTCCGAAATCAGGGGCTCTAGGGCTCTGCCACTCATGAATTCCCTCTGGCCAGAGTATGACGGCATAATCTAAAATACTACCTTGTGATTTTTCTGAAGTCATATTTAGTTTTTAAAATTACTGTAATTCTGCTTGTGAATACAAACAGTAATGGATGTTAGAAAAAATTAAACTTCCTTTCAGATCTTTGAAAAAGACATTGACACTAAGATGTCTTAGTGTCCCCCCAGTTTGAGTGGCAGTAACCATGTTTTTAAAAAAAAAAAAAAAAAAAATCGTATACTGAACTTTGCACTGCCAAGCCATTGCCATGTCTGTCTTCCAGGTAGGGTGGGAAGTCCCAACCACTGTCTGAACAAAATGAATTACTGAGATGTGGTAAGAGAAAGGTAAAAGTATTGCATGTTACCAGTCATACATTTGGAATCTCGATTTCTCTTATTGTGTTTTTGACTGTTTCTAAACCGAGTATCTGTACATAAAAGTTTTCTCCTTTTTGAAAAGATCCTATTTTTGAATAAAGCATTCTTTTTTTGTAGAAAGTGCTGTTGAAATGTTCCTTGTGTCTTTTTAGGCTTAAGTCTATGGAGACACACTAGATCAAACCATCTTCACTTGGTTGGGTCACACAGGAAGAAATGACATTGGAGGTGGACATGGGTGTATAGTATGTTAATAATGTGTGTGCTCTAGTCACATAGTCAAACACAACTCAGCACCCTTGGAGCATTGAGAGGGCACAATGTGTGGGGTCAGAGGGCACAGACAGGGAGGCTCTTCCCCAGCTTTGCAGTGTGCCTCATCCAGAGCTCCTCCCTGGAAGTTAGCATCCCTAAACTGAATTCACATGTAAACACTGAAGCTGGACTGCTCTGCCATGAGTGAAGAACCACTCTTAACAACAAACAGGAAGTCCAAACAAACAAGCTCTTCCTGAGGAGAAACATGTCATGTGTGCGTGTACCTCAGGCTGGCCTCAAACTCACTGTATAGCCAAGGATGTGTTCGAATCCATTCTCTTGCCTCTCGTCTCCCAAATGCTGGGTGACAGGCATGTACCGTATGTGGAAGGAATGACCCTGAGGGACACGTTACTGCCTAAAAGGGAAGATTGGCAGTGAAGTGTCAGCCTTTGAGTGACAGCCATGGAGACCTGATAGCAGCAGCAATTGCAGATGCGTCTTGGAGATCAGCTGACTGGACTGTGGTAGAAAATAGTGGGGGGGGGGGGTACAGTAGGTTCAGGTGCTGGAAGGGAATACACAATACCGCCCAGCCCCTCCGGCAGTATTAAACATGGGTCTCAGTGTGAAATACTGCTGCCGTATTTCATCAGATGCATAATGTTCGCATTTTATCGTCTCAGGATGAGGCTGTAGTTTAAAGCAATGGGGCACCATAGTTTACTAGCAGCATCCACGCACAGTGAGTACCAGTTGACAGAGTATAGTCAAGGCCACGTACAAAGGAGCCAGGAGGACAAAGGCATTTGTCACAAACGTTGAAACAAAATTCATGTTGAATTATATGATCAGTGAGTGAATAAACAGAATGAACTAACGAAAGATTCAGTAACTGAAGATACAGACGTATCTATGAAATCCCCAGGAACTTCACTTAAAATGCAGAATTCTTGTTTCTAAGTCAGACTAAAACTGTTGGCAAGGTCTCCAAATGATCCTCCAACAAGACTGCACTAGTGGGAACAACAATGAAATTATGATCACAGATTTTATCTTGGACGTTTAAAAATCTAGGATAAAGAAATTAGCTAGCCAAAAGTACATGTGGCTGCATGTATGCGCAAATGCCACGCCCTTGTATTACACTTTCCATGTACGTAATTACGGAAGCAACTTCCTCAGCCTGTTTTACCCAAAAACCTAAGGAAAAGGGAATGACAGGCTTTCAGCCAAATGACTTTTGTATTGGCCTAAATATTAAAAACTGAGTCAGCCAGATACGGAGGAAAATGCCGAGAGATCAGAGAAGGAGGAGCAAGCCACCGCCACACCTGACCTTAGTGTCTCAGCAGACAAGAGGGCGAGGCCCTGTTTCTCCCTGCTTCCACCCTTCGCTTCCTGTCTGTCTGTACAGGAAGTGCTTGTGGCGAGCTCCATTCTCTGACCTCCAGACAGGCTTTATTTGTACAAGCAAGACACCACCACAGAGATGGCTTCGTTTTCAGCGACAGTGGAAGAGAGAACATCGATTCCACTGCGCCATTGTCCCAGTGTGTTTTCTGTGGCTGTGATAAACACCATAGCCAAAAGCAACTGGGAGCAAAAGGCGTCCTGGGCCTTACAGCGACATGCCAGCCCACGGCCAACGGAAGCCGAGCATAACCCAGCTGCAGAAACCACAGCTGCTTCCCGGGCCTTGCGCAGCTACTTTCCTTATTGTTAAATAGTCCAGGCCCACCGGCCCCGGGGATGGCATGGCCCACAGTGGGCTGGGCCCTCCTTCCTGGACTAGCAATCAAGAAAACGGCCCACAGATATGCCGACATGGAGGCCATTCCTCCGTTAAGCAGCCCTCTTCCCAGGAGTGTATTGGTTCGTGTTAATCTCATGGACCCTAACCAGCACACCTGTATTGACTGCCTTTATTTTTAGCTCCCTGCTCTCCAGTTTCCAGCATTTTAGATCTCCAGGTTTTAACTCAAATCTCAAACATTTGTTGGTTGGTTTGTTTGTTTTGTAGAGCAGCCTGGGCTTGAACTCACAAGAGAATTGCTTGCCTCTGCCTCCCAAATGCTAGGATTGAAGGGGCGCGTCACCGTGCCCAGATTAAACATTTTAGGATTGATGCTGTTTTAAAAAGTAGTTCTCGTTTTTGATATTATATCCCTTCCCTTCTTTCCCTCCAAGTCCTCCTATGTAACCCTCCTTTCTCCCTTTCAAATCTGTTACCTTTCTCATTAATTATTGAAGCGTGTGTGTTCCCAAGTACAGAATTACAGCCTGCTGAGTCTGTGTAATATTACTGGTATGTGTGTTCTCGGGGCCCACTATTTGGTGTTGGATAACCAGCTGGTCTGCCCTTTCCTGGGGGAGAGACTACATCTCTGTTTCAGTATTCCTTAGTTGCCTGTAGCTCCTTGTCTAGGCTGAGGCCCCCTGACTTTTTTCTCCTTCCCACCTTAGCGTGTCTGTTGGTGGCATCCTTGTTCAGCTAGTATTTAGGCAGTCATTCTGGTGAATTCTGAGGTTGCTGGTTGACAGAGTCTCACAGCAAACTCCCTGCTCCTCTGGCTCTTAGAGTTTTTCTATCCCTCTTCCATAGTGGGCCCTGAGCCTTAGCTCCAGGAATCGTATTGTAGACACACTTTTAGATTTCTGTACTTGTACAGACAGATTCTGTTGGCCAGGCATTGGCGGCGCACGACTTTAATCCCAGCACTCAGGAGGCAGAGGCAGGTGGATCTCTGTGAGTTCAAGGCCAGCCTGGTCTACAGAGTGAGTTCCAGGACAGCCAGGACCATTAGACAGAGAAACCCTGTCTAGAAAAACCAATTAAATAAATATGAAGAAGGAAACAGAGATTGTTATAATTTTATATATATGTATATGTATAATATATCCTGATAGAAATATTAATCTTACGTTAGTTTTAACTTTTTTAAACACCAGGTAAAAGTGGGCAGTTAATTTTATATTTTATTTAACATGTCTAAATTTTATTTCATATATTTATTTCATGTATTCAATTTTGACAATTAGTATTTTATTTTTGCAGCCTAAGACTTTGAAATATTGTATTTTGCACTGATAACATATTTCAATTCAGACAATTTTTCTTTTAAAAAATTATATTTCATACAAAGTAAATTTACCTACCAAGTTGTTGCAAGCATTCTTTAAATTTTTCCAGTTACTCAATCAAATATAAGCTTTACAGTTTTTAATTGTAAAAATAAGTATCACTTAAAAGTCAGTTCTTGAACGAGAAATGAGCTCAGCATACATGAGGCTGACTTCTACCCTGTTACGAGCAGTTTTCCCACCAGCCTGGTCCCACAGCCGCGCCAGCCCCAAATAACACAGAGATGCTGTATTAGATATAAAGCTGTTGACTAGCATTTCTTATTGGCTAGCTCTGTTTTAACTATTAACCCATTTCTATCAATCTAAGTGTTTCCACGTGGTCTCATCTTACTGGAGAAAGGATTCGGACCTCTACTCTCTCCATCCTCCATGATGAATCTCCTCCTAGCTCTCCCAGAATCCTCCTTGTCCCTTAGTCCTGCCTATCTTGCTTTCCTATTGGCCAACAGTGCTTTCTTCATTAACCAATAAGAGAAACATATTTACAGAACATCATCTCCCATCACTAACCCAGCACAGAAGCAGTTTTAAAAGATTGACTTGTGTGTGTGAGCATGTGTGTGCAAGCAGGCACATGGCTGTGTGTGTGCCCACAGATGCTGGAAGAAGATGTCAGATCTCCTAGAGCTGAAGTAACAGTCACTTCAAAACAACCCAATATGAATACTGAGACCTGTACTCTCCGGGGTCCAAACACTGTTTTTAATTAAAAGAAGTTCAGTTGTTTTGAATCCTCAGCCATTTCAAATATATCTTTATTATTTGAGAATTATAAATAATTATAATACTATTCTGCCCTAACTCTTTCCAGATCTACGCCTTACGCCCCCTTCCCAACTTCATTTGTTTAAATAGCTCTGAGTCACATTTGTGCAGCCTGTACACTCATGCATATAGGACCGCCCACTAGCTTGTCACTGCTCTACTCGGGGGTCACACCCTTTTTTACAAACCAGACTCTCCTCGCCCCAGAAGCAACTGTCAGCAGCATCTCAGGAATGAGAGAGCCATGCTGGATGTTGATTGCTTGGTTTTGTGCAGGCAACCACAGGTGCTATGAATTCTTGATTGCAGTGATCTTGTCCAGAAAACACTGTTTAGGTCTGGCCCTCCCAGCCTCTAGTCTTAGGATCCCCCCCTTCCCCCCACAGCAACCTGTGCCTTCCAGGTTGGGTGAGATACAGAAGTCTGATTTGTGGTGAGCTCTCTGCACTTCTACCATTTGTGAGTTTCTGCATTAAACCATTATTGCACCCGGTTCTGACTCGTCTGAGAGCTGCGCTGTTCTATGGGTGCAGAGAGACACAAATTTAGAGGACAATTTGATATTGTCCATTTAGCAAAATAATAGCAGTAGGTTCACTGCTGGGACCTATGAATTCTCCAGCCTTGAGTTCTTGACAAGATCTACAGTACCAAGCACTTATTTTTCTCCTGTGGAGCAGCTTAAATCCAATCAGGGACTGTGTGGTTACCCCTACAACACCAGAACCACTGACACCCATGGGTGTATCTTTTTTATAGTTCACAGAGACTGCAACTTAGTAAATTGATCATGACCTTCCCATCCCCACAGAGCTACATGGCACTTTCCAGCACTGTGTAAAATGGACAGTATCATCTTCACCCCTCAATGTCCTGTGACCAAAATGTGTGGTGTTTACAGCAACAGGGTCTTGCACCAAATTCTGGTGGGCAGCCAAGAGCAATGACAATAACCTCAGTTGGTTTTGGAAGCTCCCAGGTGTGGTGATGTATTATTTATGATTTAATGAAGTTTGCCTGAGGTTTCAGAATGCAAGCCATAGAGGCCAGGCAGTGTGGTGGCACACCTTTAATTCCAGGACTCAGGAGACGGAGGCAGACGGATCTCTGTGAGTTCGAGGCCACCCAGGGCTACCTGAGAAGAGAGTAACAAAGCTCATGCCTTTAATCCAAACACTGGGAGATGGAGGCAGGCGTGATAGAGCTGGGCAGAGAGGAATGTGAGGTGATAGGAACTGAGAGCATCACACTCTGAGGATTTGTGGAGACAGGATCACCCAGTTTGGTCTGAGGCAGAGGTAAGAGCTAGTGGCTGACTGCTTTGCTTCTCTGACCTTTCAGCATGAATCCCAATATCGGATTTTTATTATTGCTGTCCTTTATTATTCATGTTATTCTAGGGCACCCCTGGCCAACAAATCAGGGAGAGGTATATTAGCCAGGTTTCTCTAGAGCAGTGGTTCTCAGCCTTCCTAGTGCAGGGACCCTTTAACACACCCCCTCTTGCTGCGCTGACCCCCAACCCTAAAGTTATTTTCGTTGCTACTTCGCAACTGTAATTTTGCTACTGTTACGAATCATAATTGTAAGTCTCTGTGTTTGCTGATGGTCTTAGATGACCCCTGTGAAATTGACATTCGACCTCCAAAGGGGTTGCAGCCCACAGGTTGAGAACCGCTGCTCTAGAGGTACAGAAACAAAAGAATGAGAATAAATATTAAAGGATTGTATTAAGTCAGCTCACTTTGAAATCATAACAATTGAATCACATCCAGGAGACCGAGAACTCTGCAGCTGCTTGGTCTTAGAGGCTGGGTGGCTCAGCAATCCAGCTCTCTCCCCAAACCTAAAGTGTTTCTGGTCCTCAGTCACCCATGGAAGCCTGGCTACAGTGGTTTCGATCTCAGTGAAGGAAGCAGCAGCTGTAAGGGGCGAGGCCAAGCTGCCAGCAGGCCAGCTTTATTCCTGGGCTGCTCCTAGAAGGTGCCGCCACATTTGTGATGCGTCTTCCCTCATTCGTTAAGACAAGTTCTCAGCTTCTCCAGTTCACTACAGGAGACTCTAATTTCTCAAGCGTCCTTAGTGTTTCTCCACCCTCTCAGCCCTCTCCACACGTAACCCTCCTCTGTATTGTTTGCTCTTTGCATGGCCTGGGTTCGGTCACCTTCCCTCCCTTTAGGTCCTTCTTCCCCTTCTCACCAGATGTCCTTTCTAGTTGCCTGGATTCTTTGGGTATTCCAGGTTACTAAAGCCTCAACCCTGAAGGCTGGACATGATATACCAGCATGTGAGTGAAGACCCGCGTCTCACACACACACACACACACACACACACACACACACACACACACACGAATTGGTATATCATCCTGTGTACACTAGGGGATCTGTATAATCTATCTGAATTTAAATTTGGCCAAATATAATCATTTAATCTTATAAACCAGCCACCAAGAAACTACATGAGTTGAATATGAAGCTACTAGTTTAAAAACAAAACAAAACATTTAAGATTTTGTTTGTTTTTTTTTTTGTTTTTTTTTTTTGTTTGTTTGTTTGTTTTTTTTGAGACAGGGGTTCTCTGTGTGTAGCCCTGACTGTTCTAGAACTTTCTCCATATCTGGGCTAGCTCAAACTCACAGAAATCTGCCTGCCTCTGTCTCCTGAGTGCTGGGATAAAGCTTGGGCACAGCCAGTTAAGATTTATTTTTATCTTTTTATTTATGTGTTGTGTGTGGTTATGTGTGTCAGTGCAGGTGTCAATGTAGGCTGTGCTTTTAATATCACTCTAGCTCCAAGCATTTAAAAAAATCCTTTTTTTTTTTTTTGGTATTTTGACACAGGGTTTGGAGCCTGTCCTAGAACTAGCTCTGTAGCCAGGCTGGCCTTGAACTCACAGAGATCCAGAGTGCTGGGACTAAAGCCATGCACCACCAACGCTGGCTCAGCCGTGACTCCTTGAAGGAGGCGAGCTAAAGTTAAATCAGTTCCCAATTTAAAATGAACAGTGCATTTTAAAATCCGATCAACCCAGTAAAAGCAGAACTTTAAAAACTCATTTTAATGTAAATTCATGAGCTACAGATATGTAAAGAATTTTGAGGAAACAGAAAACCAGCATAGGCGGAGCATTTCTACCCTCTAAGTGAGAGTGGGGGAGGACACACCCACATCTGTCAAAGGCAAAACCAGTCTCAGTTTGGGGAAGGGGAAGCGTTCATCCACGGTGCCCTTGCTTGTCAAGGCTTCACGTCCTGCTGTAATAACACAGCCCCCGCCCCAAGCAGGTAACGGGCAGCTGGAGACGCACAGACAGACACACCTATCTGCAGACAGTTCTTTGCCTTGTGTGAGAGGCTTTGTTCTACCTCCATCTTGTATTCACCCAACTCAGGGTATAGCAGCTGCTAGCATTGAAAATGGCTTTCTTCAGGAATAGCTGGGGTTTCGACAAATCTTTATAGGTGTGGAAGAGCCTGAAGTCTTTGTGCTCTAGCTCCTTCAGGAGGCTGTACCAAAACCTCACCACGCTGCTCTCAATGCCACTGACCTCAAAGCCAGGCCAGTGGAGATGTATCTCAAAGACGAGCTGCCCAATCTGTTCAATGACATCTTCCAAAATAAGGTTTTCTAGAACTTTCCATTCTGCACTTTCCAGATCTGCCTTGAGAATATCAATCTGTAACAAAGCAATAAAATGGTATTCTTAGGCTTGGTCCTTGACTGTACCACCTCCATACCAAACCAAGTCAAACCATGCCATATCACACAGACCATACCATATCACCATATCTACCTCCAAAGGCAGCAGGATTCTTACATTTTTAGAGTTGGAAGTCATTTACAAAATTCATTATTTTTTCATACAATGTATTTTGATTATATTCTTTCTCCTCCCTCAATTCCTCCAAGATTCTCCCCACCTTTCTGCTCAAGATCCAGAAAAAAAGACGGAAATGTGGACCATGCTAAATCGTTTCTTACAAACTCCCCCATTTTACACCTCAGCTACGATGGCACTCCTAACGCTTTGTTTAATCTTGGCAGCTTTAGGCACGATCCTCCTGGATTAAGGGTAATTAAGCTGTCAAAAGAAATATTTAATCAAAATTTCACAGAATGCCCTAATTGGTAGAGAATATTCCCAGATTCAAAGAGCAGCTTGTGTTGTATTGAGTCGCACAGCCAAGAATTTCTTAGGTTACTAACAGACTTATTTCCCTTCAGCCTTAGGTTTTCTGTGAGTTTGAGTCTGATGGATAATGTAAATAAATCCAAATGTGAAAGGGTCAGGGTAGGGTTGGGATGGAGCTCAAGAGAGTAGATGGCTCAGCAAAAACTAGGAGGAAGAAAAACAAAACAAACAAGGAAGTCAGGGGCGGGTGGATGGGGAGGCTGAGTCCACTAGCTGGACCTGAAAATTCTACTGATAAAGATACAAGGAACACAGCATAGATTTTTCTATGCGTGTGGGTGTTCTGTCTGTGTGTATGTGTGTGCCCCACATGCATGCTTGGTGCACACAGAGGTCAGAAGAAAGAAAGAATTGGAACCCCTGGAACTGGAGGTACAGATGCTTGTGAACAGGAATGCTGGGAACCCAACCTGGGCCCTCTACAAGAGCAGCAAGTGCTCTGAACTGCTGAGCCATCTTTCGACACCATGCCCCAACATATTGTAAGTAAATTATCAATCAGAACTTATAAGCAGCCAGAACAGAACCAAATAAAGCTAACGTATAGCAAATACATACTTGCTTTAGAAATGCAGTTTTTAGTCGCTTGACGTAAACGTCTTCTAAAAAGCAAACAGTATTCTAAACATGATAACATCCCCACCTTCTTTACCCCAGTGGTGAGAACAGTACAGGCTGGTCTTTCTCACTCAGCCTTACAGAGGTGTGGCATGGAGTCACCCACAATCTCTTCCCTGCGTCCCAACCTGAGAACACAGACAGCCAAAACGCAGTGAATAAAACAAAATGTTCTCTCCCGTTATGCATTTCCTTTTGCTTACATTTCAGAATGTCCCATTACCATGAACTATTTTGCAAATGTAATTTTACTTATCATTGCATAATGCAGACAATATTATTGTTATTATAAAGCACTAAAGATTTCTGGGTAAGATAGGCCACATTTAAGATTCTAATGCCATCGTGTAACAGTTACGGCACCTCAAATCATGCAAATGATTATATTGGGATAGTCAAGTGCCAAACCTAATATAGTTGGGTTAAGTCATGTTTCTTGTGAAAAACAAGTAAGTGGTAACGTCTAATAAACTCTGGAGTAAGTAAAGACGTATTTTTGGTAGAGGGTCTCAAAGATGGTAGAAGAAACAATCTGTCCGGCTATTGAAGAGGTTCTAGCATCATCTCCTTTCCCTACACATCAAATATCCAGTGAGTTGGTGTTCATACAACTTTGTGAAGAATTTTAATTCTAGCTGGATCGAAATGTGGCAGCATCCTCACTAAGGGTACAAGTCTGTCCCCGGTCATGGCTGATCCGTGATCCTTCTGCAGAATGACATGAAAGGACAGGAGGGGCTATCCGTGGGAGTGAGCTTACCAGGCTGCATAGCAGAGAGCACAGAAGGGGACCTAAACCCTGGAGCTGTGTCACGTCATCGGTACGGAGCTGCCACGTCATCGGTACGGAGCTGCCACGTCTTCGGTATGGCATGCAAAGGTTCAGGTTTCCCTCTAGAGGAGAAACTCTTCCTGCCTCTCTCTACGCCTGGCAATTGTGGCATTCTTAGCCTGCATCGCCTAGTCTCTGCTCATGGTATTCTCCGTGTGTCTCTGAGCTGCGTACACATTTTCCCTTTTTGTAGAGGCATCAGCCATTTGGATTAGAGCCGAGCATGCTCCCTTATGGCTTCACTTTAGGTAATACATCTGCATCAACTGTATCTCCATGCAAGGCCACATTCTGAAATGCTGGAGAGGCAGGATTTAGCTGGTAACAGTGCTCAAAGCAGCCATTGCAACAGGGCTTCTGCAAGACAGTGTGTACTCAGGAGCCACTGCTTAGACAGCAGGTCCTGTTAAAGCCAGCCAAAGGTAGCAACTATCCAAGGCAATTATGACTATCACTCTGCCAGTCGCTACATCAGCCAACACTGGCAGCTTCATCCTTGCTAAACATCCAAGCCAGGCAAATCAACAAATTTGAAGGCCAACCAAAATCACCAGCCCCCTGCCCGATATATATATATATATATATATATATATATATATATATATATATATATATATATCCCTCCTGGTGCCCCTGTAAGACCCTCAGGCTCAAAGCACCCTTTCATTCACAGGTCTCCATTTAAGGTTTTTAAAAACAGGCCTCCCAGCAGGATGAGCAGATTTTGCTCACACTGGCTACCTTTGAAGAGGACAATAATGGGAGCTACACCTTTCAAGTAAAATCCTAGTTTGGATATCAAAATGTCACTGTATTCTATTGGTCAAAATAAACGACAAAGCCAGCTCAGATTCCAGACAAGACAACAGAGTCTGGCCACAGAGGGAAGAAGGGACGGGACAAAGAGGGTGGAGGAAGCTGTTCATGGCCATCTTGGCAGATGATTGGTCCCAGTGATTAAACGCACTTATGCTTTATGCAAATCCATAAATGAGCTACAATACTGCCATAGATACAGATGAGTGGTAGACACGAGTAGACGTTCACTCAGGATGAATGAACAGGAAAGCCTTCGTCCATCAGAATACTTTGGTGACCAATCCTGGTGCTCAGTTTCCTTCCTGGAAAGAAGGCATGTCTGTGGGATATTTTTCTTGACCGATATTGATGTAGGATACCCAGGCCACTGTGGGCAGTACCATCCCTATGCAGGTGGGCCTGAGCTATGTAAGAAATTTAGCTGAATATAAGCCTGGGCGCAAACCATTAAGCAGTGTGCCTCCAAGGTGTCTACTTCAATCCTGCCTCCAGATTCTTCCCTGGCTTCCCTCAATGATGGTATATAACCTGTAACTCAAATAAACTCTCTCCTCAAGTTTCTCTTAGTCAGTATTTTAGCAGAGTAACAGACAAGCAAAGTAGAACAATTACTATTAAGGGATATATTCATTACATGTGGCATTGCTCATAGGATTTGCTTTTCTTGGGCGTTAACAGAGAATTGGGATATCCAATGGATTAGGATAACTAATAAAGAAAGCATTGAGGCCAGATATGGTGGCATACTGCTACATCCCCCAACACTCTAAAGGCTGAGACATGAAGAATGGAGGCTTGAATACACGGTCTAGGCTACATTAGCAAGACCCTACTTTTACTGTAAAGAAAGAAAGAAGCCTAAGAAGAACAACCAAAGTGTGTTTTCTTTCTTAAGTGGTTAACTTATGTTTTGGTATTTCACAAGTAAAGTGTTGGAAGCGCTATTTGACAAACTGTACTATTAATTGCCAATGCTACAGACATTTTTAAACAAGAACAAGAGCATTCGCTGAGGGACCGTTTAATGTAAGCCAAGTGTCCTGTTGCATAACAAGGAGTCACAGATTTGAGAGCATCATGCTTGAAGGAATAAAATGCTACCTTTAAATTACCATTCGCATGACATACATTACCATACAAACATTTTAATTGCTACTGCAACCGTAAGTGATTTACAGAATAAAACCTGCCAATCTTCCTTTAGGAAGACAAAGCCATTGAAACAATGTGCCAATCAATGATGGGTGTTGTCCATCTGTTTATAAGTTTCTCTTGTTGGTGGATGGATGAAACACTGGGCAGGCAAGAAGATAGGCGGGGCTAGGAGACAAGGAGACTTCTGGGAAGTGTAGGCAGAGAACAGTCACCATGTAACCACCAAAAGGAGAAACAGGTTCATACATTCTCCAGTAAGCCAAGACCACGTGGAAATACTTAGAATTATAGAAATGGGTTTATAATTAACTAGCCAATAAGAAGCCACTGGCCAACAGCTCTATAATTAATATAGCGTCCATGTGTTTATTTGGGACTCGAGGGCTGTGGGACCAGCTGGGACAATAAACCTCTTGTTACAAATCAATTTTCTTCTCTGGCTTCTTTGGTTTCAACTTCACAAGCTACAGTAGACAATAGGGAAAGGGACGCAGGGTGAGTGGCTGTGCATGCTCAGAGTTGGGACAGTGGTGCATATTATCCCAATCAAGATGATCTTTTAGGAAAACTAAATTGTCCTAAACTGTGGCACAAGAGAAAGAATATTAAACATGAATAATTTATTAGTCTAAACACCATTTAGCAAGTGCCATCAGTGGGCTTTGGGCATACACAGGGATGGGGCTGGGAAAGGAAGACCAGATAACATTAGAAAACAACATCTACATGTTAAGAATACATGTAAATGTTGGAGGATGTGTTGAGGGCATCGGAGAAAGGCCTTTCATAACCACGCCGAGACATTCTACCACAGCGGCCAGTCTCTGGCTACTGGGCACCAAACTGAGAGCACTTCTTGAGTAGATATTACATTTCTGCTTTGATATGACTTCGATATATTTATACTAAGAATATACGTCTGGTTTGGTAGAATATTTCGATAAACACTCAGAGACACACTCCCATCATATGAAGTTAAAATTGGCTCTATGTGTTGGAGCACAAGTAGAAGCGGCGCCGGCTTCATCTTTAGTGCGTCAGACATGATTTTAAGCGAACA